CCAATACGGGAGAATCCAGCCCAGTCCCTTAGGGATGCGCTATGTATTCGACTTCATCACGGATCGTGTAGGTGCTTGAGTGTACAATTTGTCCATACATTGACTTTATCTAGCCTGCCGATTTCTGAAATCAGTTCTTATCTTCCCAGAGAGGTCTGATGTCAACCCAGCGACCTCGAGAGGTGAAAGAATTGTTTAGCCAGGGAGTGGAACCAAAGACCACGTTTACAATCCAGAGTACCTCTAACCATCGCGCTATACGCATCCTTTCTTCCTTACTAGTAGAGATTAGTGCTTCTCTAAAGCTTTCATATTCATTTGGATAATGCCCCTATATAATATACCCCAGTGAACGTGCAGGCTTCGCTTTTTTTTTTGGATTATACTTATACATCATTCTTATTAGTTTCATTTTTCATCAATGTTCTCGCTTGTTTTGTGTCAACTTCTAAATGAAGCAGTTGTCTTCAAAATGAAATTCCTAGCTCTCATAAGTTATATAAAATTCTGTATACGGTGGTAAACAAAAAAATGGTGTTGAATTGTTAAATTGGATAATTATTATTAATTCCATTATTCCTCTAATGGGATCATTATTCATTCATTCATTCATTCATTCATTCATTCATTCATTCACTCATTCATTCATTTATTTCTTATAGGCTGTCACCCTTCATTACCGATTCTTCGCTTAACAAATGCGATCGTTTAAGTGAGAGCGATAAATTTCTCATGCAAACAATTGTAATAGTTTAAGCCGCAAAAATTCATTCCCAACGGAAAAAACTTTGCGAAGCTGATGAAGCCGATGAATCTCAGAGCTTATTAGTGAATATTACCTAACATTAATCCTTTATGTAATAAACATTAGTGAGGATAAATACAATTATCACTGACTGATGTACGCAGAACGATCTTCTGGATAAGAAGAAAAACGCTAGACAGAAGTTTTTCGGTAAGCAAATCCCCAAAGTGCACCTATTCATAGGTAGGGAAAGATTTTTTTCACTATTTCTGACTGGTTCACTCCTTAGTCCTAATGACTTATTACTAGCTTACTGCCGAAATCCGAGGAAGTAAGTCGCATCTGCCATCATTCCAAATCAAGACCCCTAGTGATCGATCCATCGGTCATCATATCCAGGAGGTGAAAAATATTGTCAAGTTCCTTTCAGTGCTTTAATCATTTCTAGTCAAAGTACTGTAAGAAGTCTGCAATTATTCCAATCGCCATCTGTCACACGGGCTGATAAGCACCGTCTATCACACGACTTGATACATTGTGTTGTCGTGGTTAAGGGACTCGGAACCATCATGCTCACTATTACATCGGTTTTGATTTTCTTTCTATAGAAACGTGTGTGAAATAAGGAATTAAATTCAATCAGTTCAATCTAGGTTCTGAACACCGTGTACAAACTGAATCAGGTCACTCAATAACAGTACGGTAACTTAAATTTCGAAATATCATAGAGTGGGTGATGCCAGTCGAAAATCCTTCATCGTTGACCGATTCGACTCCATCGACTAACGCCTCTTTCCGTTTCTTCTACTTTCAATCATGAACATAAGTATAGTCGCAGTGTCACCTGTATCACCACGTGTAATCGCGTTGATCGCCAAGTGACTCGAGCGGACGCCAGTAAATATTCCATTTTTTCCTGTCACGCGCAAGAGTACTCCAGTGGGTTCTGGTCGCTCTAGGGACTCGTCGAGCATCACATCTTTTTTCTAGGCTCTTCGTGAAGAATTCTGACCATTGGTTCGGTGGTCTTCCTGCAGTACGTTTGATATCCCGAGGAATCCAGTCACTAACGGCTCTTGTCCATCAGTTGTCATTCATACGCATTACGTATCCGGCCCACCTTATCTACGACCGTTTGATGTACAGAACGGTATCTTCGATTTTTGATCGTTGACGCAAGTCGGAGCTTCGGATCCCATCCCTTAATTGTGTGAAACGGCATTCTCCTAGCATCGTCCTTTCGACTCCGCGTTCAATAACGCTGTGTTCTTTCACCCTGCTTACGCAGCGACCAGGTTTCTGACGCATACGCTAGGGCAGGAACAGTCGCAGTAATAAAATTAATTCCTCGACTAATCGGACTATCGCTGCCTATCGTATAGCTTTTGTACCTAGCAATAATTCATTGATCTTTATCATTACTAAGAAATCCCATCTGTTCAAATACGCTGAAAATACAACTGATATTTGTGCAGGAAAGCTGTTATCTTCTCGAATCGTATAAACTGGGAACCTCCTTGAATTCCAATCACCACTGTCGTGTGTAGGTCCTTCACTCCACCTAAAGAAGTGGAAATGTTTAGATTTTGAAGCACTGAGCTATTTAAATTTCCCAACCTTTGCACGAATACATGTCCTTCAAGCCTTGTGTATACTGATGAATTATTCATAAAGCAATCTGGATTACTGTTAATGGAAAATTTAGTCGCGTCTTAACATTGCTCAGATTTGTAACGAATTGCTCCTTCTGCGATGGAAGCACGTTTTTGTTTCGTTTTCTTTTTCTCGACGGTGTGCCATCTAGTCTTCACCAAATGAATACGCATTCAGTTACCTCTGCAAAGTTTAATGAATTCAAATATATAACGCATCTCTAAGACATTGAGATTGGAGTCTCCTGTTTCAGCATTTGTTGAAATCGTTTAATCTCATCTTTATGAACTTCTTATCTGCTTCCTTCTTCTTATTCATTATTAAGCACAGGATTTTCCTTAAGCGCAACCGAGCTTAACTGTCGATGAAATGTCGTTCCTTATCTCTAGTAAGCAGACCACCTGCCCCTCTGGGGAAATGAGCCTTCTGCCTCTAACACTTGTCATTCGTCCGTCTCATGTCGATGTTTCCAGTGATGGGTGGTGGAGAGCGCTAACGATGAACAACAGTTTTACTTTAATATAGCTGTTAAAAATTAGTTCCACATGTTTTTCTAGTTTTCTTCTGCATCATTTTAAATTATTTACTAAATTTGTTCTTCTTGAGAGTTTCACACGAGAAAGCAACCTTTAATTAATTCAAGCACATCGGAAGACGATCCTTATATATCATTTCCTCAGTCGTTTTTCATACTAAACGAGACCCACATAACTGATTGTAGATGATTGGAGTTTTCGATAACTAAAGCAGAATGAAACTGATTTTTTATTCTGGAGAACTCTTATACCAATTTGCCAGTGCTGAAAGTACGAAGGCCTTGCTTTGCCCAAAGCATGGGTTCGAACCAAGCTGCCATATGGTATCAAAGAGCACCCTTTAACCACCGTACTGCGTGCGTCCGAAGAAATGATAGTAATAATATAATAATAACAAAACTTTATAACAGTGCTTAAGGGTGCGGGTAGCGCAGTACTGGTAAGCGTTGTTCACTAGCGTAGTTCTTGCTCGACTCCACGCCGGCCTTACTAAACCTGTCATCCCTCGTAGATCGGGAAATTGGTACCGGGCTTGTCTGAACTCAAATCAGTCCCTTACGTCAACGCAGGAACGCTCTAGCACAGTATCACAAGATTTGAGGAGTGGTCGACTCGACAATTCTGCAAAGACATTCATAGGGAAGATAACAATCCTCAAGCGTCAGCAGGACGCACACATGAAAAGTTCACAAACCTTTGTGAGGAAACGATTCGAATGCAAAAAGTGTTAGGATAGATCTGCACTGTAGATGTGAAGATTAGTAATAAAGTTTAATACAAACAAATAATTATTATTAATAGTTTTATTATTATTAGTGCTCGCATTAGTATTATTATTCTTAGTAGTCCACCGTAACTCTAATTAGTTCCTCTTTCGGCTAATTTCGTATGTATTGCCAATATTTTCTATTATACCATTAAGAAAATGTCATAAGATTTTTTTAATGTCATTTTCTTCATAAAGAATGCCCACGGAAATTCCAATTTGTTCATATTTTTCTAGAATGGCAATTTTTTAGTCTTCGGCAATTTCTGTTATTCAACTGTAAGATGATTATATCAACGCTCTTTGCTCAACAGTGAAATTAACAACCGATAGGAAGAAAGCAACGAAATGCACTGCGAAATTAGTAATGATCATCCAAATTAAAGTATAAAAAGAGATAAAGCGCTCGGCGTTGATTAATCCCCTGAGGGTGCGCTATGCATCAGGATTCATTAAGCATCGTTTGGAGGTGATTGAATTTATATCTGGCTTTTACAGTGACTCGCGGTGGCCTACCTATGTATCGAGCCAGTGCTGCTACCCTCCCAGACAAGTCTGGTACCAATTTGCCGATCTCGCAAAGATGGAAGGCTTGGTGGGCCATGGGCGTGAAGATCGATTCCATGTGTGTGTTGTAGGGCGCCTCCGACCATTGCGCCACACGCGCCCTCGATCACCTAAATTAGGGACAAAAAGTAAAAAAAAGGGAAAAAGCTTTCTTCAACCACTGAATGAATTTTTTATGGGCTTTAAACGATAAGTAGATAAGTAAATAAAGTTAAATAAATACTAATTGATATGAAATTTCGAATGTCATTCATATACATAGCCATTAGAGCTTATAGCACTGTTATAGCACTTATAGCACACTGTTAACAACGGACAAATTTCAGGAGAAAGAGGATTTAATTGAAAAGTACCCGATGTCGATTTTGACGATCGATATAGAGACGAACCTCACACGAAGATTTGTTAAGATCTTACTTCGAAGAAAGGAACTGAAAAAAAGAAATCCTCTTTTTTATGTAGAGAGACAAGAGGTTGTATGAGGTGTAATCCAGTGGAGCGGCGGTGGTGGTCATAGTATTCGTTTCTTTTTTCTTATCGAAACACAAAGGCATTTATCGTAGCAAAAACGAGTGCAGTTTTTTTTCTTCGTAATCTCCGTATGGATCAGCAGCATTGCTGCTGTTCTCAGCTGAGTCGTCGTCTGTCGTTTTTCTTCATTCATAATGCCATTTAGTCACCATTCTCTTCCTATGTCTCACACTCATTTCATTTCAGCACTCAGGAGGGTTTCATGAAGCTATTCGATCGTGGTAGTGGTGGTGGTGGTGGCAATGTTCCTGTCGACACCGAGAAAGACTCACTAAAGCGACCGTATCCGGTAGCTTTTTCGCAATATGTGAGTTGGTTTCTTTTCACTTAAGTACACTAGTAATAATAGAAGTAGTAAGCGACACTTTGGATGGTCACCACGGTGAAGTTTTTCCGATCTGTCGCAGTTCACTTTATGAGCGTTGATGCGGCCGCAGCTGCCATACACACTTTATCTTATCAACTGCTGTTGATAAAAATTATGCCTTGTGGTTATCTGGGCTGTTCCAAACTAATCAGCAACCATTGAAAGAAGAACTTGTTGCTTTATCTTTTTTTGAACGAATCTTTGCACTTCTAACATTGGATGTTCATTTATATATTGCGAGGAATGTTACATCGTCCTAATGATATGAATTTTCTTCACGAAAGAAAAAACCAACCGCAGTTTTTTTTCAGGGAAAAATCAATTACACTTTATTCGATAATCATTTTAGCCCTTTTCCTATCTTCGAGAAAAAGATTCCGCTCTCAGCCGCACAATCTCTTTTCATTTTTTTGAAAATCCTTGCTTTTTCTTCTTGTTGAATCCTAAATTTGTTGCCTCAGGAAGAATTTCTGGCCACAATATTTTTGAATGAAGGCTACGTTCTCAGTCGTATTGAAACATAACCACAATATTGCTGAGATATTTGCAAAACTCCGGCCCGCTTGTGTCTGCGGTGGGGACCGAACACGGTATTATTGTTTCCAGGGTCCGACGTGTTCTCCACCACACCTTGCGACACCTTGAATCCGTATTGAAATAGTTCGGACTCTGACATTGGTGCTGTAGCCACTAAAGAAAATAAGCTGACCAATTATTGAACATATTGGCTGCGATTTGCATCGGTATCGATGCGTAAATCTGAAGTGATTGACTCTTTCAAGCTCAGAAGGAATGTCCCTGCTTATAGTAAGCTATTTATTTGAACTAAGAATAGTAACATTCTGTACATCTTTTCCCGCATTGTGTAGGGCTTTACTTATTGAACAGCGATAAAATTCTAGACTTCCTGAATACAAAAATCGTCTTTTCTTTCGTTTTTTTTCCTTCGAAGCTCTTAGTTCAAAGCAAATAAGGAGCGTGTTACCAATCAGAATACGGTAGCATTTTCGAATGGATCATTGATGTTTGTAGCTTCCGCGCTTGCGTCTAGCACTTCAAATTTTACTTCGCAGGGCTATTTTTTACACTCTGTTTTAAAATCAAAGGAAAGTGATGTTTAAAGCAAATTGTTTGTACGCTTATAGTGATAGCTTACACACACTGCTTTCTTGGTGAGCACACGCGATTGCTATTACAGTTTTATTTACAATAGCGGTCATTTCGCGTGTTTCGCCTTCTTCAGAGAGGTCAGATTGACACGCACTCTACTCAGTCAAACAGTTGTTGACCAATGCCGAGATTAATAGAAAGCCTATCGTGGGACAGCTTAAAACTTCGCTGCTTATGCCTGTTAAGTCTTCAAGTCCAAAAGCGTGTTATGGTTCATTGAGGATTTATTGGCACTTCCACCTAACGGTTTACCGCATCATCGTGGCTGAAAGGGTTTCTGGGTGTCGGACTGCGATGTACAGCGGGGGATTCGTCTCCTTTCTCCCCAGGGTCTTCCAGGCTGAGAAGGAGCCCGGTATTTCGATCAGGAAGCTTAGCTGGGGGTAAAACCAATACCAAGATCCACCACCGTTCTAGTATCAAAGTCGTATGGTGACAAATCTCTCTCTGATCCACAAGGGCTGCAGCTGCCTGTGGTGGTGAAGACATGGGGCAGACTTTGGCCAGGCTGACCTCGGAATTCCAGGGAACCACAATGGCTTAACCAGAAAATCTCCGAAAAAATTGGATTTATGCTGGGGCCCCCACAACCAGTGAGGACGGGTCATTCAAGTATCCAGTAAGTATTGGCTTTTATCGAAAGAGTGGTAATGTAGCGCGTTCCGGTTGTGATTATGAAAGTTACTTAGCATATGAATCCTTTTAAATGCACTCGTTTCCAGATCGGTCAGCAAGTATCCTAAGAAGTCGATTCTGATCGATTCTCAGGACTACTGGGTGCTCTCTTCTCGGGTAGTTTAACTAGCCTGTGCTCATCGTTGACGCTTTCGTGTCATCAACGTTTATCATCTTAGCCGAGTAAACAATCAGCCTTATCTCTTCATGATTCAATCGCTCTGTTCTGACTGCTTTTGTTGTTATCAGCATTATCTCTAAGTGTTTACATAGCTTTACAATGCCGGTCTTCTTTTCCAACCCACTCGCCTTCACATTTTCTCCGTGAAATCATTGAGGTAGGATTGAAATAAGCTAAAATTTAGTTTATTCAAAAGCAGATTATGAGTTAGCTAAATGTAAAGTAAAGATGAAGAATTAATGTGTGTTTAAACTGATGAGCTTACACGAGGTTGATAACGTAGTTTTATTCGGCTAACGTTTTGACGTCCTCGTCTTCATCAGAGCCGATGATCCGAGTCGATGGTCCACAGTTGAAGAATTAATGCTCAGCGGTTTGTGTGAATTATTCATATAGGATGATTCTTAACGAATTATTTCAATGTTCACAACAATCGCTCTAAGTTCTGCTCAGGTTTTTTCACGATCCTTAAAAAGAAAAACCGTTTCACCATTCACAACATATTTTTTGTGTCTTCTATATTCCGTCACTGTGAAATCTGCAGTGCATAACAGAATCGCGATGAAAAGCGACAGTATTTTTAGAATTCTTATCAGCTTCAACTATCAGTGTTCGTAGGATAACCGACTGGTGGGGAACGTCGTTACTGATTGAACACAACATTGAGCCAGAATTTGTGAACCACACCGAACTGTTTCATTGCCGTTGAGCAACTGCCGGCTGATCGAAGAGAAAAGCCCTGACTTCTTCATCGAGCCTAATTGCTTTTTTTTTTGCCTTTTTTTCAAGTTTTGATATGTTGTGTTATGTAATCATACATGATGGGGTGAGTAGCGCTTTAACAGTGATGTGGGTCGTCCCGAGCACGGTTCTGGTTCGATCTCGCCCCGGCCTCACCAGCCCATTATCCTTTTGGGGATGGGAAATTGGTACCAGACTTGTCTGGGAAAAGTCCACTCTCTTAGATATCCAAATGGAAACGCTCTACCCTGGCTGTCTCAGGTCTCAAGGGAGAATCGACTCGAACAGCTTTCAACGACATTCATGACAAAAGGAAAGTCCTCAAGCAGCAGCCGAAACTGTACGCAAAAAGTTGGAAGACTTTTCTGCATGATGGATAGGAGGAAAGAAATCGAATGTAGGAGTTCCTGGAATCCACACGCTGGGTGAAACACTAGTTAGTCGTCCAAGAAAAATGATATATAGTATTTTATGTTATATTACATCTTATTGTTATGCTTAGTGTAAATGGTGCGCAGTGAGCACAGTTGCGGCTCAATAATGCACAAGGCCTTGTTTCAAACCAATCCAGGGACAACAAAGTATCCTATTCCTCCGGGATAGGCAGATTAGTATCAAACTTGTCTAGTAAACGCTCCGCCACCTGCGGTCCACAGAACTCACAGTACTATCCAACCTGGAATGTCGGTACAATTAAGCTGACCAGCATTCAGCTATATTCGTGAACAAAACAGAGTCCTTAATTGACGGGTGAATTCACACGCAAACCAGAAAACGTGCGCGAATCAGAGATGCGAAGGAACTCACCGAATGAAGGAAGTGCTGGGATCCGCACAATATGTGAAAGACGAGTCATATGAATAAGCAGATAAAAAATAAAGCTCTTGGCGTTGATCAGTTTTTGAGGGATACGCAATGCATTTTACTTCATTGTGCATCGTATGGAAGTGATTGAATCCATATCTGGCATTTACAATGACTCTCGGTACCCTACCGATGTATCGACCCAGTCTTGCTATCCACCCAGACAACTCTGGTAGCAATTTGCCGACCCCAGAGGATTGGAAGGCTTGGCGGGCCAGGGGCGCGGCGTACAATCCCATGTGTGTGTTGCAAGGCGCCTCCGACCATTGCTCCACACACGAGTAACTACAATAAACGTATTATATATTTGTCCTATATAATATAAATCCAGATTCGGATCTATTCCAGTAAATATATAAATACGGTAAAAATATTTTTTTTTATCTTAATAAAGTTTATAACACTAACAACATCAACTCTACCTTCGTAATTGGCACTGATTGGATACCTATCGATTAGATGACCTCGTCCGACAAGCAGCAAACATACAATGTTTCGTTATTTTAAACTTTTTAAATTTACTCATTTATCCATCCATTTCATCCCTTTCTTCGATTTATTCATAAAGTTTATTGGTTTCCAATGTATCATCGAAATGTTACAGGCTTGTAGTTTTTGGCCGCGAGAATAAAATGTCGATCTTACTAGTTCACTGTTCTTACTATATACGAGTACGTATGTATATGTATATGCGTATATATACACATTTATTTATTATTTATCTATTTATTTATTTACTCACGTCATAAATCACCATAATTAAGCTAACGAGTGAACTGAAAAACTTCCGCGCTTTTTCTGCGGTCTCGTTGACTCTACTGATGAAACATCAGCTGTAATTTATCTGGTAAGCAGTAACTCTTAGCCTTAGCGTTTAGTTTTAAAAATTTCCAGGAAATATGAGCTCAATCTACTAATATTTTTGTTAAGTAGTATTCAACTCGTAATTTTTGATATAAAACAGCGATCTTCTTGATTCTTAGCTGGTTATTTCACTTTGAAGTGCTCTTCGATCATTCATTGCATGAGATTTTCATGTACAGATGGTGACGGTTTCGACACCCTGACGTTCGCCCACCTTCTGTATCCATTTGATGGCCGCCTTATCCTAGAAATCGTCACAGCTGGCACTCATTGATGAGACAAAGCAAAAAGTGACATGATCTAATAAGAAACATTTTTGATACAATTTTAACTTTTTTTCTAAAGAAATGCAATCAAGCTTTAGTGTTTTTGGTGACTTCTGCTTTGATTTGTTGCAGTTTCTGGCTGCCACAACAATGACAGAAACGTTGCTACAGTTGTTCAACTAGTATTTGTGCGGTAGACGTCATACACTTGATGTGGCTAGAGTGAGCATATCTGGAGGGTTTCGTATGCAGGCGTTTACGAAGCACTGCTTTTATCGTCTATGGAATAATGTGTGGTTACTTGAACATGGCAAAGTCACTCTTTGAGAGTGTCTGCGACTCATGTGCTGCTGAAGAGACATTTAACTGTCTTAGTTATATTTCTAGGAAAATTGAGTAAGAATGACGAATCATGATGTTCTATTTTTTCACATGGAACTTCAATTCCACTGTTCTGCCTGCAGAAAGGAGTTTAGATTTCCAGAATTGAGAATCCGAGTCCAACTGCTTTAACCGACAAAGATTCTATAGAGACTTGTTAGTAATCATAATGTTCTGGTTAAATTTAGCATTCCCAGCTGGAATATTGCAGAATTCTAAGAAAAAAAAAACGCGGAGACAAAGCCGAGGATAATAAATGTTCAACCATTTCTTATTTCTGTTATCGTTCCCAATAAAATTATTCTCAACACCTATTTTTTGTTTAGAAGGCTTTTCGCAACGGGAATTATGTGGTTAAGCGAAATTTTCTTTCCTGACAACAATTCTATTATGACAGTTGGCGTCTGAATAGGGCGGGGAACTCTTTTTCTGAGAAATTCACCTCATTTGACGATGCACTTTGCGAATGCCAGAACGGCTTCAGTGCAAGTTAGCTACAGTTCACCGTACCCACATCGTCGAGCTTCGCTTGCTTCGACTGTTGGTGCTCATTGAGTTGCTCTCAGTCATCTGTTCCTCGGTCTGTCTCGTATTCGTTTACACCTCTTGATGTCAAATCGTGTACTCGCCCTTTTCATCGAACGGCTCAAATGGACAACAAGCAATTCTTGTCACTCGTCACAGCTGTCCACTGAGCAGTGCTCACTCGGGCGATACAAAGAAGATCACAGTTCTTGTATGAGGCTTTTTACTTGTGCTGTTCTGCTGTTTTTCTTTTAGAGAATAACCGTAATTAGCTTACCATGCCACCCTAGGATTTGGAAATCCTCACGGGTAGCTTTACGAGTTCTCACATCGAATACATAGAGTTGTTGGATACAACAAAAGAGAGCGTCATATTTAGTTTCTGGGCACCAAATCATGGATTTTTTACTCAATCGTCACTTCTTATACATTCCGCTTATAAGCAAACGCACCACTTACGTATACATGAATGCGTTTACTTGCATAATGAAGCGTAATATGTCAATCCAACGACAAAAACCGGAAACCCATTTTCTATATTCAACGTTTTTTTTAAAATAAATATACTTTCTCTTTTGATTTTGGTGATTGGCCTGCTCTAGGGATTTCTGCTTAGTCATGTCATGCGTTCAACTCCGTGAAGGATTGCAGAATGCACATTTTCTCTAGACAGTAGCATTCAGGAGCTAGCGATCTAGCAAGTCAGTGTTTTTATCGTTCCGGATAAGCCACACACCATCTGGTCAACCCAAGAGGATGGCAGCTTGGTAGTCTAGGCTACAGCATCGAACTGACAACTATATGTCTATTGTGAGGCAGTTCTAATGACCTGAGCTATGTGCTTCTTCATTTTGATATCAAATCAGCGAACATTATGAAAAATGATATTTAAGAGCGACATCACATCGTACTTTCCACTAAATTTATCTTTCTTTATCGAATTGTTAGTGTTGTTTTTGTTTTCGTTACTCTTCAACAGACTTAACTTCAGTGGAGATAATAACTGGTAATGCCAAGAACCAACTCAGTTATTATGAGTGTGCAACTTAGCTTTATAATTAACCTTAGATGCTCATTATTTCTAAATTTGAATTTAGCCTCAAATTTATTTCTAGTTGTTGTTTTAAATCGATAAATTCAACTTCAAATGGATGACTTCAACTTTTAAAATTTACAATTTGCAAGGGATAGGACATCTTGAACACTCTGCTTGAAGCTTTATGACGAATCGTTTACAACTTTACATGATACTCGCACTCGATCGATAGTAAATTAGCTGAGACTGGCGAAACGAAGGACCAGCATGGTGTGGTGGTGGACGTGTCTGCCCCCGGAAAGGGTAATAGCGCGTTCGTTCCCCACCGCAAAGACCTGCGGTCCGGAGTTTTGCAAATATCTCAGCATCATTGTGGTCAAATGATATGTTGGAAAGTCGGCCATTCTGTTTAACTTCACTTCTGGACGATCGATTTCTCAGTTACAAACTAAAAAACTCTTAACAACAATTTGAAGACTTCAACGGCTCATTTTTCATTAAAAGAACACCATTCTACTCCTGAAATATCCGTTCCTACTAATTCCAGTAGTGTTTTTAAGGATCCAGTAAGTAAACGTCCATTACCAATCATACCTCAAATGCAGAACAGTATGCTTACACATCAACATTTGATGCAACAAGCCGCATTACAAGGTACAGTTGTTAACAGGACTTCATTACTATTAGCACGCGAAAAGATATTGAAAATGCTTGTAGAGCAGAACACAGCATGCCTATATAAAAGTACTGGATTAGAAGAAGTACGCAGTGTAGTTGGCACCATTTCTAATTAAGCTTCGTTCAGCCGCCATGCAAGGCAGACCATTACCGACAACTGTGCAGAACTCGTACTTCTCGCCACATCTTCGTCCGATAGACACGTCGGCCACACAACAGCTTCGCCCACCCGATTCAGCTCAGCAGCTTCGAGTCCCTCTAGATTCGGCTTCTGCTCAACAAATGCGTCAAATTGATCAGCAAAATACCGCCGCTCAGCAGTACCGATCACATGAACAGGCGATGGCACAGCGGCTACACAGGCAGCTTCCAACACAGATGATGCAAAATCAGGTAGTACTTGATGGATAGAGGTGATTCATGAATGAAACCTCACTTCCATATCTATGATTAGAAAGGAAACGAATATTTATGAAACATCACAGCCGTTGTTATTTAGGCAGTGCAAATGCGAAACCAGCAAATTGCTGTGCAAGAATATCATAATCTACTGAGGCTGGCTCAACCTACTGGGCTTCAACAGCCGAGACGACAAACAATCTCTGGGAACAACGTCAACGCACAGGTATAACTTCACTGTTGTTAACTTCTCATCACATTAATTTTGATTTTTATCATCACTATCCATTTCTCTGTTAGGCGTAAATAGTAGTCGACGATTCGAACCAATGCCAATTTAGTTTTCAGTGCCACTCAAGTTTTCGTGAGATAAAATGCGTTAAGCTTTTAATCCACCAATGTTCCAGTGAATGGAGCACTTTATGGCAACTACTAAGCTTTCATCTTGGTACTGTTTCAGATGCCTTCGTCGGTAGCTCGACTTCAGCGGTCAGCCACTACTATAGAGCCGTCTTATTCCTCGTCTTTACAATTTCCACATCAAATTTCGCCAACACTTTCATCATTGGCCACTTCACCCATCTCTCTTGCTACACCCATCCAACTTCAACAACAAAACCTACTTGCACAGCAAATAATGTCAAATGCAATGCGAGCTGCAGGCACCAATATGGCGCCACCACCACTTCAAATGGTTTCCACCAGTAAGTCGCAGACAACTACCAATTCCGGGACCGTTCAGCAGACAACAACCAATCTATCCGGCGGCATGGGAGACGCCGAATTTCTAGCCTTCTTAGATAATGTTCGCCAAATTGAAGCTCATCTAACACGTACGTTAGCTGAGAGCATACAACGCTCAACAGCTGCGCAACAGCAAAGTTAATAAAAGTCGTTCTATTCCTGTTCACATTCATCTGTTTCGTGAGCTAAAAGAACAGAAAAGCGTCTTGGGGGAAAAGTTCGCTATCAAACCTCCTCCCTTTGCATTCAGAGAGCTTCCATCTTTGGTGCTATGTATGATTTCATCAATAAAATATCGCCAGAGAGAATCAGCACCATCTTGTTCTGCACTAGAGATCCCTCTAGTCCACAGAAAGAACTGAATTTGAAAGACGCAGAACTGAATTTCGTTGAAAAATTACAACTGTCCTAAGATAAACGGCATTACCCTCCGAAAAGTCTTAAATAATTGTAAAAAAAAAATAAAGTAAACGAGTACGGGTACAGCTTCATGAGTAACGCGAAGTACAATACGTCATTATTCGGTGCTCAAGCGCGTTTACGCTTCTGCCACCGCAACTAATCGATAATTCCTGTTTGTGCTCTGATCTCAACAGCGATCTCAGCGAATCGGTTACCTATTTTTGGTTAGCCTGTTATTTTCGATTCTGTTTTCTTCTCCGCGATGTTTGTTTTCGTTTTTGGTTTTGTTGTTTCGTAAACCACCGCGTTTTCCACAGCTGGCTTCTCACCACATCATATTCCGCACTCCTCCCTCATTCACACCCTCGCGCTGTCATATCTCCTTCTTGCACTCCATGACCTCCGTCGATGACTTTCCCTTTGACAAGTGATTTTGTAGGGTTCATGCAATTCAAATGAAAATTGTAAATACTAATTATATGTTTACGCTTTCGTAAAATGTCGTTGATTTATATGAATAAAGATTTTATTAGTTAGGTATACATGATGTAAACTTGATGAAGAAAAAAAACAAACTGGGGACAAATCAAGGACTCGCAAATTCCATCTTTCAGTCGTTCATTTGCATGTAAGCATTTCCTTAACTGAAGGAGTGGATAGCTCTATGGCAATGATGCTGTTCATTAGCAAAAAGGGCTAGTTCCACTTGTGCTCAAACTCAACAAGCCTCCCAACCCTTCAGAGTCGAGAATTCTACCAAAATTGTCTGGGATCAACGCTCTCTTTCTAGTTCGTGGGGAACGCCCTAGCATGGCTAGTCCAGGGTTCAAGGTAGAATCCTCTCTGCCAGCATTCAACGGTGAATGAGACGAAGCTCCTCAACAGCAGTCAAACCAGCACGCAAATACGAAGACCTTCGTGAATTATTGATGTGAGAAAACGAATTGAACACAAAAATGATGGAACCTGTATAAAAAGTGATTTCAGCTCACGTAAAAAATTCTCTAAATTCTAAGGATTTAACCTGCAAAAGCCGTAAGAGTATATGTCGATTATAGCTTAATGGATTCACGCTGAACAGAAGCATATTGCTCTACAGGGCTTCAAGCACTCTAAATGGACTTAATCCATAGGAAGAAATATTTGACGGTTCAGTTGACGCTAAAAGAACAGCCGATATATCTGTGAAGATAAATCCGCTTATGGAAAGAGACTTCGAACGAATGGGTACACAAACTTGGCTCAGCCTTTTGGTGAGTACAGTGAGGTTCAAGACATAGTGTTATACGGATCCACCGACACCTAAACTACCCACACCTACCCTGCCTTTTCCTTACTTGGACGGTCCTTCTTCACGAGCTGTGCGGACCCCAGCACGTATGCCATTCGTTCCTTTCTCTCGCAACCGTAGTCCATGGTGGTGGACTTGCTCGAGCATGGCAGCGCTTGCGAGTCTCATACCATGATCTGTAAAACAACTGCAGCTGCGGATACAGCTGATTAACTTTGTTTACGAACATGTTCGCCTAACGTGTAGGTAGCCGTTCTAGGGGACATTTGCATTCTCTTGGAGTCCACTCTACTGTTCTTTTCGTCTATGTGTCGTCTGTTCTTCTCATTATGTGACCGGCCCATCTATGTTTCGCTGTCGATGTATATTCTCCTGAATCTCGGAGATGTGAGAGATTTCGAAGGTCAGAGCTTCGCATTCCGGCTACATATTGAAAGTGCCGGTTATATTTCAGAAGACATCGCTCAGGCGCTCTGTGAGTAGTGCGAAGCATTCTTGACGTAGTTGAAGTATCAACCAACGTCTCTGCAGCACAACAGAGCGCTAGAAGGACCGTAGAATCAAAGAGGGATTTTCGGGTCCTTCAGTTGGTCGGTGGCTTCTTTGAGAGGCCCGAATGCGACCTAAGCCGCTCTCTTTCTTCTATCTAGTTCCTCGTTCATGTTGTTTTCCATGTTCACTGATCGCCCAAAGTATACGCACGAGGTGGTCTCTGCAATGATAGAGCCGTCCAATTCAATTTTTTCGCCTTCGCACCATGAGTTTTTCATGCACTGGGTCTTCTTTCGATTTATGCGAAGTCCCATCTTTTTCCCCGCTTCGTTGAATTCGTTGATCATTACTTCCGCTTCGCTAGTACTTCTTGAGAAGATGACAATGTCGTCGGTAAAACGAAGGTTTGATAGGAATTTTCCATCAATGCGTATGCCTTTCTCATCCCAATCGAGTGACTTCATTGACTTTATCCACTGCAGTGCGGCACTGAACAGCTTTGGAGATATTGTGTCGCTCTGTCGAACCCCTTTTCCAATGGGTATTGTAAAAGGTCGATGGAAAAACTGCATTTTCGTAGTGCAGTTCCGATAACAGTCGGACAGAGTCCTTATGTAGGACGGTCCCACTCCTTGGTCGATGAGCGCTGATAGGATTGCATTCGTTTCCACACTGTCAAACGCTTTCTCATAGTCGACAAAGGTTAGGACTAGAGGCAAGTGGTATTCCCGACAAACTTCGATGACTCTGGACACGGTTTGGATGTGGTCAATGTAGTAAAATCCTTTTCGAAATTCTGCTTGCTCAACTGGTTGTGTTCATCCAATGTCCTTGACATGCGCGATAGGATAATCTTCGTGAAGAGCTTGTTAAGTACACTTGGCAAGCATATGGGACGATAGCTACGAAGATCCCTTCTGCCTCCTTTCTTGGGTAGAATAACCGTGCGCGACGTCCTCCACTGGTTTGGGATTTTCTCCTTTTGAAGGTAGCCTGTCATGTGATTTACGAGAAGTACATGTAAATTATGGCCTCCAACTCTAAGGAAATCGGCAGTAATATTATCGGGTCCTGGAGCTGTGCCTCTTTTTATCCTTTCTATCGCAACTCGAATCTCCGACGAAAGAATTCCAGGTGGTTTTTCTCCAGCAGGGATATTAGGGCCCTGCACGGGGATTGTGGAACAGAAAAGGTTGGTGTAGAACGTTTCCGCTATTAATTCCATATCATGGTGGGAAGTTTTGACGATCCCATCTTCGTTCATCAGGACTGACAGCAGAACATTATAATTTTATAATATAATATATAATATATATAATTCTGCTATATATATACATATATATATATGTTTATGTACATATATATATATATATATTCTAGCACTTATTTTATTTAGATGATCCAACATCATAAATTTCCAGTCCCTATGAATTGGAAGAGCCTTCCCAGAAATACATCACACCAAATTCCTTACCGTTCACGGGTTACAGACCTGATTGGCCCGAAATGGCATCGAACCAAGTCGACGCGCACACTGATCGACACCTCCATTACCATACCATGCCTTGGCCGAGATAGTAGCATAGCGCGCGATAGATAAATGCATATAAATGTTAAAAAGCGCGAGTACTTCAATAAATAACGGAATATGTTGGAGTCACAATGTTTAACGTTTTGTTTTCTGCCTTCTATAATTTTCGTGGCAGGTTACTAAGCGAAATACAACCACAACGTTGCTGAGATATTTGCAAAACTCTGGACCGCAGGTGCCTATGGTGGGGAACGAACACGCTATTGTCCTTTCCGGCTGAGAGACAGGCGAAACGAGGGACCCGCATGGCGTGGTGGTGAAAGCGTTACTCCCCGGAAAGGACAATAGCGCGTTCGTTTCCCACCATAGACACCTGTGGTCCAGAGTTTTGCAAATATCTCAGCAACGTTGTGGGAATATGTTGGTTTTAGTGAGTTCCAGTAATTGGGGGCGTATGTAACGCGGTGGTTAGAGGTACCGTGCAATACACACATGGTCCTTGGTTCGATTCTATGTCTCAGGCTCAACAAGCCTTCCATCTGAGATTGGCAAACCGGTACCAGGCAGTTCTAGGAGAACAGCAGCACTAACTCGATACATCGATGGACCAGCGCAAGTCACTGTGTGGGCCAGCTATGCATTCAGTCACGCCTAACAGTGTTTGATGAAATAGAATGCATGGCGCACCTCAGCTGTTGATTATCAACGGAATTTTTTCTTTTATTCTTTCATAAGTAGTAGAAGGATTCAGAAATTAATAGCAAAAACTATGTTTTATTTCTACAGGGTTTTATGTAACTTCGTACGAAATATTATTCTAATTTCAACGTTTTTAGAACCGAAATCTTCAAATAACCAGAAACAAAACTTAAATTTTAAAACCTCCAAAATAAAGCTTAGAGCCAAAAACATCAACGATGTACTAGCGAAACCATAGCTTTCCACCCTTGTGGATTGGCTAGAACTATTCCTAGACAAGTCTGGCACCACTAAGAGATGGGACTCTTGGTAGGCCAAAGGCGGGGCCGCACCGGCAACCCCATACGCATTACTGCGTGGCATCCTTAGCTATTGGGCATTCAACCGCGTCCTGTTACAACTACATGCCCATAATGAACAAATTGGTAATTAATAGTACTTATTCACAAAAAAGAGGACAAAGCTATTACTATGAAATCTGAACCTCCTTGAATTTCAGTCCAACACACATCCAGCTTTTTAGCCAAACCTTTATGTTCTTCGCGGATTTTTTACTCATTTCTATATATTTTCCCTGGTCCACTAACCGACTCTTTCTGCCCTAATGTATACCTCAAAAACTTGGTCGCTGCATAAGGAGGATAAAAGATCACTCAACATTATAGAACGCGCAGTCAAAAGGACGATGCTAAGAATGTTTCCTGCCACACTAATGACGGAAGGGATGAAAATCCCCAGACTGCGTCAACGATCAAAAATCAAAGATGCCGTTCTGTGCGTCAAACAGTCGAGAATAAGGAGTGTCGGTCACGTAATACATATGTACGACAACCGATGGACGACAGCCGTTAGTGACTGGATTCCTCAGGATGTCAAACGCACTGCATGAAGACCACCGACCCAATGCTCAGAGTTCTTCACAAAGAGCCTTGAAGAAGGATATGATGCTCGACGAGTCCCTAGAGCGAGCAGAATCCACTGGGCTACTCTTGCACGCGATGCGGAAAAATGGAAGATTTACTGAGGCGCGCTCGAGTCACTCGGCGATCAATGGGACTACAGGTGATGCGGGCGATCCTTCTCTAGTTACAGTACGTTACAACAACTTTCTATCACAACTGCAGTTCTGATTGCATCAAAAAGTTGTTCTCACTCGCTCCGCTGTATTTATTGCTTGTAAAGCTGACGAGATTTTCACAAGAATCTTGTTAATTGTTTTAATACCAGCTACTTAGCCAAGTTTCTGAGTATTAACTGCTTCCGAAGGCGAACTAAAATCGATGGAAAAAGTCCTGCCCTTTACGCTCATTGGTTTCAACAGCTGTGTAAAACAACATAATGTTAGAATTGACGAGCAACATCCACAGAGCGCACCTCCAGAACTCAGCTTTCAAAACAGTTCATGCTATTGCAACAAACAAACTGATCATCGTCAGTCCTGAACACTGATCGCGCAACTAGAACAGTCGCACGCTGAAGTGACTCCAAGCAGACTACTGGTGTTCAATGCGTTCACTTCGCGTCTCAAATCAGCCCAAAGAATAGATCGCTGTTCATACATGAATGTCAGTCACTATGCAGCCATAAAAAAGCCATATGCACCACTGCCTTCATCAAATACTTCACTTGTCATATTGCAAAAAGAATATTAGCAGTGACATAATAGAAGTATCGTGTATTTACAAAAAGCTTACTATTTGACAGTTCTTGAGAACGCCATTGTTTCTTGGCACGTTCATCATGAGGCCATGATGGACTCCAAAAAGGACTCCATTGTTGCATCGGTTTGATGTATCTTCTCTATATTCATAGATGTATTCATTCATGAATCTGTAAGTTTGCTTGCCCAATAGTGGATCCTAGACTACTTGTCAGTTTAGCCGAAAGACTGCGAAATAATAAGGACAGTAAGTCATTTAGGGTCGTTTCCAGAAAAAAGAACTTTTTTCTATTTTATGGAAGACCAATTCATGGTGTTTTTCGCCAAAACAATAACAAACAGACTCATTCCACTGACTCCGAATGAACTCACGATAAGGCTGCTAAAATCTCATGGCCAATATTGGCTACGTGAGCTTATAACGATCATGGTGACGACCTGTAATGCGTGCCAGCATAGGAATCCTCTATTGAGAATCTGGTAATACAAGCTTAAAAATCAAAATCGGTGTTACCGGGTTGGTCAAAAGGAAAAGCGCCGTCTATGGAATGCAACTGCTTGTTCTTCGAACCATTACGCTCAGCATCGTTAGTGCCTTTCCTCGCCCAGATGAGTTTGGTCACGAACGTTGATTCTCTTGGTGAACTAACAACGGAGCTAATAATTTTGAAACCTCTACTATAGACGGATCTGAGAGCTTTCAAATGGAGAGTTCCATTAACAACAGAGCAATTCATAACAAATTGAAGGCTTTAAATAACCGATGTCAATGTCCTCCCAAAGTTATCGAATCCTCACCGCTTTTGTGTGTTTTTGTTCTTTTTCCACGCATAAAATAGTGATGCAGGAAAATTTTAGAAGCTCATTTTCAAAAAAATTCAGTAAATTGGGAACTTTTCGTAACCTCAACCGCTTTTTGGGGAGATGCCGTTATCGAAAGGGGGGATCGAAGGAAAGACTAGATGTGCACAAGAGCGCACCTCCAACTCCTAGCACCACAGGCTCTCTATCTTCACCACCTGTTGTGGTCAACAAAAACCAGCGTCTGAAGTCATCTAGAGGTAGATGCCCCCAAAAAATGGAGTAGAGGATAAAACCACATTAACGTTGTTCAATATGCTGAGAACCACTAGGTAAGCTCCCAGCTTGTAAAACTTAACACAGAACAGATAAACGAAAATATCAAAGCAAGAAGTGCAAAAGTATTCGCTGTGGTAACATAGGAGCTTGATTATCCTGTGGCGTTCCGATGGTATAGCCTACGTTTTCAGATAGGCAATAGATAAAATTGTCTACGACTACTACTTCGATTTTCTTAGAGTTATGTACTCTTGAAATAATAGATGCGATCTCGTCAATGGAGAGCCGTACGCTATGGTCACGAAAAGACTAGTCAATCATCCTCTAAACGCAAACAAACTGGCAATGAAACGAGTAGAACAGACAATCAGAGGTTGATAATCAACCTCGTGTAAACTCATCAAAGAAAGAATACATATTGATCAGTGATACTGAGGTTCAAGGAAAGTCGGTTTCGAAATAAATCAGTTGTCGCCACTGCATTCTATTTCGCCCCTTATGAGCGACCATGTTGCCACACAACGATTTGGAACAATGTTTCCTGACAGGTAACGTCTGAACAGCCAAACCAGTGAGTGAATGAAGACTGCCGGTGACTTGTTCATATAGATGTTCTGGTATAGCACTCTCCGGAAAGTGTATTGCAGTGGTCTTCATCGACAAAATACCACGCTGATTTATTTTATGGATTTAGAAAGGAAGAGATATTGTGATCATATATCCAGCTTCCGTGGTCTGATATGGAAGCTGGTGCATGTGACCATCAAAGAGATCGACGTAGAAATTGCGGATAGTTTTGTTCATTGCTTTGTTCGAAACCGAGAATCTTCCGTGTGACGGATGACGATTGCGTTGATCTTGTGTTTGCCAAAGTCTCGGCTGACGTTGTGGATGCTTTTACCAGCAGCTCCAGCAAGTTCTACTACTCCTCTGTTCTTAAATAGTTCATCGCTTCTCTACAGCGTTTTGCAAGTTGGGACGCGACCTGATGACGGTCGCGGTTCGTACAAATTCTACATTTAGAGTCTTTAGACTCTCGGATTCTTCAGCATAGTGATTTTAGAATAAGCCGACCGTATACCTTTTCAATGTTGCTGGTAATGGAATCTTCCAAGGAACTAGCTAAAGAATTGAACAAAACCCAATTTACAATAGTTTTAGTGTACTTTCGTGTCATGAAATTTGCGGTATCTTTTCCTTTTTGAGAAAAAGAATGGAATCTTGGTACTACAGAAACGGGGTAGGGTCCGCCAGAAAAGAATGTGGTGTTTTGGCACGACAGTGTCATATTTTAAATAGAACCTTCGATGTTATAGCAAATAGTCTACTGCGCTTTCACCGTCTCTGCTTAAGAGTCCCCCGCTTCCAATATTGAGGGCTAGATAACTCCAATTGTGAACTAACCATGAATGAACTTGATAATGTTTACCTCAGCCTCCCACCTAGTTCATTAAATTCGAAACCATGGTGAAATTGGTTAGACAACCTCCCGATGTAATGTTCTTCACACCTTCTTCTAGTTGTAATCTTAGCGTTGTAATCGCCGATGGTTGTCTTGTGGAAAATCATTTGTGATCAAGTCCATGTATAGTGTTACGATCTCACATGAGTCACCAGTTCTTGAAAGGAAAATGTCCACGGACATTCCCATGTTGATGACATCCTGTGAGTCGTCTCCACTGTTATCGCATGTTCTGATTAACACGTCCCCTCCCTACGTCGTAAACGATCTACGATTACCTTTTTTTACGATTACGATGTTTTTTTCTCTCTTACCTGTCTACTGTCTTGGTGTTGAGTCAAACTCAAAGCAATGTGGTGAAGATTTCCCTGAGCTCTGGTGTGCGGACTGGATATGCATAATTTTTACCCCTAATCGGCGTAATCCTCTTCTTAGAGTCACATTGTCCACAATTTACTTGGATACTTGAATGCGCCGTCCTCACTGGTTGTGTGGGCCCAACATAATTTCCATTTTATCGGAGTTTTGCTGGTTTAGCCATTGTTGCTTCCTAGAGCCTTGAGGTCAGCCATGCCAAAATTTACCCTAGGTCATCACCACATGTAGTAGCTTTGCGAACATGCGACTGGTTGATACCAGGACTGCAGTGGGTCCCGGTGTTCGTCTACACTTGGCTGGACTTCTTGATGGAAACGACAGACTCAGCTTGGGATGCCTTGCTGGGTGTGGTTGAACTGTTCACCCAGGAACACCTCTAATCCACGATGAGACGGTAAATCGTTGGGAGCACCAAGTACTATTTTTCTAAACAATCGTGTACATGTAGATCTATTAAACAGAAGCATTGGCCACCGTCACCAATCCATTACCACTCAATGGTTCGTCGTCTCCTCTGGACGCAAGGCATTCGTAATCATAAAACATCAGTTGCGAGCACATAGTACACTAGAACACTTTTTCTCATGCATTTCTACGCATGACTCAACGAAATCTCTCATCTTTAACTACAATGATGCCGAGATATTTGTAAGACTCATCTATTTTTGAAAAACGCCAGTGGAACACACTATCTATGAGTAGTACAACTACAGTACATAGCACAATGTGATGCCCAGAAGCTTCATTGTAGATGAGCATAGCTCATTCATTCATTTAAACCACAACACCACATAGGAGAAAACTTCGAACTGAACAGATAGAGAAATATTCGTAAAACCAGCAACATAGTAAGAACCGGTGAATTGAATTCATTCCATCAATACACTGAAACCATGATCAAATCTTACATTTTCAAGATTAAATCCCAAGAATACTTGCAGATAGAAAGATATTTCGCAGCCAACAGTAGTAAGCAGTAAGTTACAATGTGTAAGTCAGCTAAAAACAATGTAATTCAGTTAGTTTTCGAATGTGTACTGTTCATTCCAGGCAAATGTATTTGCAGAAAAGCCTAGTTCAATCGATCAAGTAAGTCGATAATACGCTCAATAGATCGGCAGCCACCAGCCTTCTTGCTCTAAAATTAAGAAAAATTAAAAATCCGAAATTTTACCTTCGTTTAAGGAATGCCTGCACTTTCGAACGAAACGAAAGAAATTTGAGATAAACAAACTCGATAGGTAATTAGCAAATTCGTGACGCCTCTCAATATACACGTGGGAAAAAGCGAGCAATGTAGGCGAAATGCAACCATTTCTAAGCATTTTTTTTTCGAGAAAAAAGTACTCTCCTCATATCAAAAATAACAACAAATTCATCTCAACGGCGTTCGCTTTCACGACTACCACAGGAACATTCCCAATTACTGAGTAAGTAAGGTTTAAACGTTCGACAACCAAAAGCACTTAACCATGGCAGGGATGCAAATCTCGGAGAACGCATACATAAATAAATTTACAGTATAATTATGTGCTCATTGTCAGCAAAATTATTCACTACAAAACAACTGGGCGTTCACAGAGTGGGTATTCGACGTGTTCCAAATAGCCTCCCATTTCTAACCCTTACTTTCAAAACCTTTCAATGATGTTGGAAACTCCATACTCGAGTAAGTTTACAATCCATGATTTTCAAAATCTTGACCTTCGCAATTTATAATTTCACATGTTATTTTCAATTCTGAAAATTAAGACGTTATAGTGAAACGATTTAGGCAAGCATAAATGCTACACTGGATGCAACCAGTCCTAACCTGCTTGATATGATTAGTTGATATATGGCGCTCTAATTAGTCGAGTGAAACCATAGAGGAACTGGGTCTTGGATTCATTTACCGGGACTCAGTGACATTTTAGGGATAGATCCCTCAGTAGAAAAGCTTCAGTGACTAAAAGCAAAAAAAAAAAAAATATGAGTACCTAAAAAGTTGGCGAAGAGTTTCGTGTCACATTTCGTGAACGTCTTGATAATATCCTCTTTATCCGCTCACTAAAGGATTGAAAGGAAAAACAATAGCATTCACCAAATTCTAAGGTACGCTTCATGCGTTCGACTTCATTAAGCAGCGTTGGAGGTGACGTAATGCAAATTCAACTTAAACAATGAATTACGATGCATATCGATATCAGTTCAGTGGTGCTATCCTCCTAAACGAATTTGGCTGCAACTTGCCGACTCCCGAAGGATGGAAGCAAGTTTGGTGAGCACGAGGTTTAGGAATGAACCAAAGAACACGTATGTATTTTAGAACATTCTCTACCAGTGCGCTTTATGCACCTCAATCTCCCAAATTACACCGATCCAATTTCGTAGGGTATCCGGTTACCCACCACTTATGTTCTGTAGGATGGCATGCTTTGGGAGCTCTTTCTCATTCTCGTTACGTGTGTCAACCAAGTGGGTTTTCCTGCAGAAAGAAACATCATAATCTGAATTCCACAAGTGACACATAACGCCTTAATCTAGTTCTGCGAATCTGCAAAAATCCAAACCGCAAGTACCTGTGGTGGAGACCAAACACGCTATTACCCTTTCCGGGGGCTAAGACGGTTACACTACACCATATTGGTTCTTCATTTCGCCTTTCTCTGAACCTGTTTTAATCTACAGTTGCTATCAGCAATCACCCATCAACGGGATTTATCTGGGGAGCAGAAAATATCTTAGTATCACTGTAGTTATATTTCATATCACACCTCTCCATGAAAAAGCATAGGTAGTAAAACGAAGTGACTACATAAGCGAGGGAATTTCATCCACACATATTTATACGTTAGCTGTCATGAAATAAATACTGCGGTAACAACATCGGGCCTGAACATCAAGAAAATAGTAAATTATTGGTCAGTGCCGGCGTTAATAGAAAGTGGGTTTTTGGAAATAAAAACATTACAAATCTACGTAGACTGCCAAAGAGTTGATGACTAAAAACTGACAGCACCACAACTCACGAATGGACTAGTACAGCTTTACAGACGATATGTGTTGAACTCAATGAATATAGAACACGGCAGAAAAAGATCCTTCACGAATGTGTAGACTGCCGTAAAAAAAAGAAATGAAAACACAGTTACACGAACACTTACCGCAATTTTCATGAATTCTAGAAAACGCTGCAGTTGATCGATCATAGGAGAAAATGATCCACCCTGTAGATGTGAACGTACAGATGAAGCATGTCCCTAAGCAAGAGCTTTATAAGATCTGACAGATATTGATGCAGTAAAACATTATTTAAAACATTAAAATTGCTTTCCGATTTCTAATGAATGACGTTCCCGGAAGAACAAAGATTACAAGATTAACAAAGAATGCTATGAAACAACCAAGCTTAAAAACATAAAAATGGAAAAAAATTGTAAGCCACGAAACAGTGAATAAGGAACCGTCAACAACTACACTTCGAAATCTCACACCAACTGTAGCTCGCCATTCTTCCTAACATTTAGTACCTACAGATTCGAATTTTCATTTAACACCGGAACCCCCGAATATAAGTATTTTAGTCCAAATTTTTCTCTAATAATTACACAACATATGTTGAAACGTGTCACATCTAAACGATAATGTGATAAAAAAAAACAAAGGATGAACAAGCCGGCGTTGATCAATCTCTAAGGAATGCGGCACGCATTCGAGTTCACTATGCATCCCTAGAGGTGAGTGAATGCATATCTAGCCCTTACAATGACTCGCTTAGCCTACCGATGTATCCAGTTAGTACGGCTATCCTTCCAGACAAGTGCAGTACCAATTTGCCGACACCGGAGGGATGGAAGACTTGGTGGGTCACGGGCGTGGGAATCGATCCTATATGTATTGCTGGGCACCTTCTACCAATGCGCCACGTGCGATATTCATGATTTGTTCATTCCATATTACGTCTAATTCGTTTTATAGTTGGAAATAGCTAAAATACCTCATTCTGCTGTAAGAGACATCCAATCAACAGTGCGACATAAGATGCAACTACACTATCCTCCATGTGGGCAGAAGCCTAAAATAATTACACATAAAATGTTTTAAATTAGTCTAGAGAATAAACACTACCTTGCTCATAGCATTTTGCACTGCTTGCAACATCTCGCTCTCACTCATTTCGTCCATCTTCGCTCGATCTAATCGTCCATCATCTCTGCATTCCTCGTCCGTATCATTATTATCTTCCTCAACTGGTTCCTAGGGGCAACTTACTAACAGTGACGATTGTAAGACAGAGAAGAACTACAATAAATTTAAATTTAGGCTACCACATACTTCAAATGCTATATCCTTATCGAGGTCTTCATCAATATTTTTAGCTTTAGCGTCATGGATAGTGAAGAGCTGAAAAAGCATGCAAATAGACCAACGTGGGAAAAGGAGTTAGTAACAATCATTTTAAAAAAAGACAACAGCCATACAATAGCAAGAGCATCAAGAGCTTTGTGCTCGGTGTCTTCTCCATCATCTGAGTGGACTTTCACAGACGTATCAATAAGTTTCCGGCGATTAGAATTACAGCGTTCTACCAAATTCACACATAAGGACGTCATCTGGATAGCCATCAGTATTGTTAATTATAAGTGGAAAAAAACTTCAAATCAGGAATTAATCCAGAACTGTCGTCTTACCATAACGTAAAGGTCGAACTTTTTATCTTCTGGCGCATATTTCGGGACAAGAAAAGTGTATGACGAAAGACAGAGCGGTAGGAAACCTGGTACCTGTCCTAGTTTAGTGCAGCACAACTCTAAAAAACCGATTATTATTGAAGCTAGAAAAATAAAAGTATCTCATCATCCTGTATAGCATATATATATATACATATATATACTATGTACATATATACACAAGCATGTATATGTATACATATACATATGTAAACGTGTATTTATACACATACATGTACATATGTATATATAACATATGTATATATATAACATATATATATATATATGTTATATATATACATATATATATATATATAAATAAGCAACTATGCACAGAAATCTGGAAGACCTTAAAAGATACTACACACAGATATAAAAGAATGGAAGTATTAAGGCACAGATGCAACAAAATTAAAGAATCTGATTAAACATGAAAAAAAGCCTCTTAAAACTAGTGCTGTCGTCTTCGGCAGAGACAAGGTTAACAACAAAATTTATTCAATAATGAAAGCCGCTTCAGTGACTTTGGCTTTTTCGGAGCCTGCAAATGTCCATACAACGGAGTAGATTTGGAAGTCAAGGTCACTATCACACAGGAATCTAGAATGTCAGCGCGTTAAACTCTTGAAGGGTTTTAGTTAGCTTTAAGAAGAAAACCAAGTTATCACAACGAGGCCTCAGTGCAGTGGCAAGAGCTGCTCTGCAAAGCGCACCTAGTCGTTGGTTCAATCTAACGCCCAGTATTAACTAAGCCGACAAACTGGTACCATATGTGTCTAGGAGAAAAAAAAACCCTGCTTTGAGCAGTTGGGTCCCATAAGTTGTTGTTTAGACCAAGTATGCATCCAACCACCTCTACGATGTTTCATCAAATTGAATGTATAGCAAATTCTTCAGGGATTGATCAACGCTGAACGCTTCATTCTTTATTGTAACAAGGTTTTGATACGTGTTAATAAATAACATTAAAAAAAACAAATGGCTCTAATAAACAGTAAAAGACAATCACAGGAGTAGTAATACGAAATTTTGACATTGTTTTTACTGCAAAAATTCAATTTTATCCTTACCTTCATTTTACCAAACAAGAAAAAAAAACAAAATAAAAGAGAAAAGCTTACCATTTTCATGAGAAAGGTTCATAAGAACACGAGCCATCAAGGATAGACAGACTATATAAGAAGAAACCAGTTGCGAACCAACAGAAGAGTTGCTTATTGTATCGTGAATTATAGTCATCAACCTATAAATCAAAACTAAAAAATAAATCACAAATGAAATAGCAGGTGTTATGACAATAATGAAATTGAAGCGATTTTTTGAAACGTGTAGTTTGGTGACAGGATTCTCTATACAGTCGCCGATTTTGCATCAATCATTGACCTCCAAGAGACTTAAAAGACAGTCATAAAACTCTCTAGTTGACACTGTCAGGGAGAGAGTAGCCTAACAGATCGTGTTCACTACAGGAACCTGGACAACAACAAATCTACCTGCTAGGATCTTTCGAAAAAAAAAACGAAGTGAGTGGTTTGACAGAGCCCCATGCTCATATAGTCTCACAGTTCGCGAAATCCAAGCGTTTCACATTGCCACCTCAACCTTTGACCACTATTGCACTATTCTCACCCTAAAGCCCTCTTCTCCCCAGAGCTTCCCAGGTTCGGAAGTAGTAAATGATTGTTTGCGATTCGTGCGTCCACACGTTGTGCAATCAGCTCAAATGTTCAAGACATACGCCTCTTTGTGGCTTTCGAACTCTCCACTTTTAAGCAATAAATGCCAATTTGCGATGGATCTGAGATTTCACTCCTTAAATTCGAAAACTTTTTTCTGTTTAGTAAAACGTCTTATGCGGAACATGGTTCTGTGCAAAACATCAACAAAACAACTATTTAAAGAAAACCTTCAATTTAGTATGATGTGGTTCACTACGTAATGGTATATTACACTGACAGAACTCTATTTACAATTTGGGAAAGCAGATTTTCGATTTGTGAGTTGATATTAATAGCCTTGTTTATAACATTAACCCCAGCCGCTCACACTGCTCATTAAATTCCAACAAATGGATCGTCGTTATCAAACTCGCAGTGTGACCGACTATCGCAGATAAAATTTCACCTGCAGAACTTTCCCAAGTTCATATAGACTCACGTAGACTTCACCTTCGTTCCTGTTTGATGTTCAGGCTACTATTAAAGCCGATAGTAGTCCGCATCTTCTCAATCATAAACAGATTTCAGTAAACATTGCACAAAAGAATCGACGTCCACGGATATGAACATCGACGAAGAACATAATAATTGTAGAATTATGAAGCCCAGTATAGGCTTGTAATCTCAGCACCCTATTTGTGTTTTTCGCTGAAGTGTAACGATGAGAGTACTTTCTGCAGCAAGTGAGCAGAGTTTTTTGATTTTTGATGTTTCACATGATCAGTACCCACGGTAAGCTTGATAAGTTCTAGCATAGTGCCTTTGTATACTCAAGCATATCTTGCCAAGCTTCCTAACCGGTTGATGCATTTTTGAAATAAGAGATACTACTCACGGCATAACATCCTACAAAAGCGTGAGAACTATCTCCAATCTGACGGGACCTGTTTAAAAAACCCCGAAAAAACCACTTTAGTATGCACAAGAAAGTTGGTGACTTACTTCCCACACATTTGAATCAACAGACTGCCACGATGTGATATCAGGAAAGCTTGGTTCTTTTTGTGAAACACTGTACACTGAAAAGCAAACCATTGTGAGCAACTTCAATAAACAAAACCCTTTTGGTGGGAACAAAAAACAAATATGTGAAGGAATAAATGTGAAGTAAAGGAAAAGAAATAAAAACATTCGACTTACAGACTCGAGAATACGAAAACATCGCTCCAGAACTACAAGATGTTGAAGTGCATCAGATTCAGTTAGTCTATCATGCAATAACCTCAGCACGACCTTCTCCACTAAAAACTGTAACGTAGATGAGGTATTTAATATTGTAGTCAAACTACATTAACAACGACGATGAAATGAAAACAAAAAGGGGAAACACTGAAGTTAACAAAAAGGGATATGGTCAATGGTATACTACCTCACTGTATTTGTGGGCTTCAACTGTAATGTATAGCAGTGGTTCAAGTTCTGCATTGCTAGAAAGACCCAGGGGTTTCATCTTCCTTTTCCATTTTCATCTGGAACTTCAACAAAGGGTAGTCTTTGCCAAGATTAATGTTATCCTAGAAGAGATCTAGTCGTAAAACAAAACGTTCATCTCGTCTCTGATGACAACTGCAACGAAAAACAACGCCCCCAAATGATAACTCTAGCAATAATAATGTGCATAAGCATAAGCATAAGGTCTGCCCAACCCTTCATTTCGAACGAAACTAGTGGACCTATGAAACGTTGCTTAAGAAGGGCAGGTCCAGAGAAGTTGGTATCAGTGATTGAAATGCCACCGGACACTCTCAGATACCAGCCAGTCCGTAACCGATTCTATGACCGTCTATGCTTAATGCAAAACTGCACATGTCCTAAAGGCAGAAATGGTGATCGCATGACGGTTTATCTGACCTCTTGTAGAGAGGAAGAATACATCAGTGGAATGGGTAGACCACTGTGCGTGCGTACAAAAGAACACTCAGTCGGTACGCCTAAGGTTAAACCAAGCACTCCAAAGGGCGCGCGTAGAACACAAACACAAAGGAGAAGACTTCGAAGAAGTTAAGATCCCCGCAAAGGAATCGAAAACACTACCACGCAAAACTCTCGGAACATTCTGGATACTTTCCAGGAATCCGAAAATGAACTGCAACTAGGAGTTCCTTGTGATCACGTGTGACTTGCCAATCTAGGACTTTGTGGGGCTGGTCTCCACCAAATAACGAAAACTTATAAGGAACAAAACGGCTAGGGTTTAAAACGATCTATCTATACGTGAATGAAAATTTAAGCACTTAGTATTATCTCGAGGTTTTGAAAGTGTTTGGCTGAGTAAATTGCACGTCAACTTGACCTTTCCAGGCTCTGAAAACCGCAAAACTGTTGAAATATCAGCTGCATTAATGAATAAATGCTCTAATAACTACCTCATCCATGCTCATCAAGAAAATACTAAATTCACAGATAACCGTTTACTTAAATTATACACTAATGAACCTCTCTGAAAAAAGGTTTTTTCGCAAATAATTAAGTGCAATGACGATGCATAGTGCCGGATGGTTTTACTAGCCCCGTCCCTAATGTTTCGGTCTCTTTTCAATTAGCTAATGAATAAATACATTGTAGAGAAAAATTTTTGAAACCTAAGGGAATGAAAGTGAACGGTACAGTGTTCACCATAATGCCTCAAATGGGTAAACAGAGAATTGGATGTCCTAGCGTGGACCGCAGAACTTTTCGTTAATAAGAGCTATCCAAAGATCCAAATTTAAAGCTCTGAAGATTCTAGTTAAACAGAAAAAACGGGGACGAGATTCAAAACAAAAAAAAAAAGAGTAAGTCGGTGTGAATGAAGAGCTATGAAGTATTGACGATAAAAAGATTCTTTAAGCAGAAGACATAATCATACAACACACTTGCCGCTACTGCTGATAGAACCATCTACTTTGCTAATAAAATCTGTTAGGAGGAAATGACAACGAGCATAACATCCACCGCCATTATCACCGTCAAATTGGATATGATGAGCCCAGAAAATCATTGTTAAGCAACTATGAGAGAGAAAAAGTACAGAAACACCATTTACAGTCGTTTTCTCATTAACTATTTAACTACTAAGCATATTACGCGTTGTAGTGAAGTGGTCAGCGGTGTCCTGCAATACATATGGGATCGATCGTCGCGCTCTAGACCCACTAAGCCTTCTATCCCTCCGAGGTCGGGATAATGGTATGAGAATCGCCTGGGAGGATAGCTGCACTGACTTGATATATCGGCACGCCACCATGAGTCATTGTAAGGGCCAGATATGCACCCATTCACCTCCTACGATGCTTAATGAAGTCGAATCCATGGCGTACCCTTCAGGGATTGATCAACACTGAGAGCTTTATCCCCTTTATTCGTAGTACTAGCATTCATAAGTACTGCCTCTAGAATCCCCATCAAACCGATTGCATTGGAAATGAAAAATTTCCCTACCAAGAACCTCCAACAGTATTATAGGACTCTATGCAACTCTATACATTTTACCCAAAAACGAAAATGAGAATGAGAAATATATTACCTTTGCCTACCATCCACTGTAGAATGCCAATATTGAGAAGTTCTGTCTTCAAGTTTTCGTCCACGCATCGAGCCAGAAGAAAAACTAGAGCGTCCAGTATGAGAGATGACGGCTGAAGTTGCGAGTAATAAAGTGAGATATAGTGAGTGACAAAACAGAAAAGCGAGTGATGCCGCCAGTACATACAGTTAACTGCTCTTTGCTAAGATGGAACGTAATCTTTCTTCCAGATGATGATTCCATTCGTTCAAAATATGAGGTGAAAACTTCCCAAACCTAAATTGGATTAGAACGAAGACACTCTTCACATAGTGTGATATATTTGACACTTCAACAGTAAGGCTACCAATGACGCATATTTCTTCCGTTCTTCGTCTTGCTCCAACTTCTCAATACGAAGCAATTGTGAGAGAAGCCGTAGAGAATGTGTATCCACAGGCATAGGAATGAAATCGCGAGACATCAAGTATATTACAGTCGATGCACAAAGAGCCAAATTCTATATAAAAAGAAGGTTTAAAGCGAAATTTAAAAAGATGAACATGAAAACACAGATCACCTGGTCACTTGGCGAATCTGTCAAACACTTGAGGACGTTAGAAATAAGGCCCTCACTACGAAGGAATTGCCGGAACTCAGAAGACACGCATTTCCTCCCCAGCGACAGTGTACTGCAATGAACAGCAAAAATATCGCTTAATCTATTCTAGGGAGGAAATTAGCGCAGTAGTTAGAGGTGTCTTGCACTATACCATGACCTCGATTTCGCATCCTATAGTAAACGAGCTCCCCACCTTAAAGTCATTAAAAGGATAGAAGGATAAAGCTCTCGGCGTTGATAAATCACTGATGGATGCGCAATGCACTCCACTTCATTGAGCACCGTTGGAGGTGACTGAGCGCATATCTGGCCTTTACAATAACTCATGGTGGCCTATAGATGTACGGCGCCAGTGCTGTCATTCTCCCAGGCAAGACTGGCACCAATTTACCGACCCCCGGAGGTATAGAAGGATTGGTGAACCCGGTGCGCCGAGATTGATCCCATGTATACTGTAGAGCGCCTCTGACCATTGCTCCACACGCGCCCCATTACACTAAAGTCATTACACAGCTCAAATGTTCACTCAAACACCTGTACGATGCTTGATGGTGTCAAACACTCGGATATCCCAAAGGGATCGATTACTGCCGAACGGTTCACGCCTTCCTATGGTTATTGATTCTGAAGTGCAAACATAACATTACGATGTAGTTATCTCATACCTCAAACATTTTACGTTAGTTGACGCATCACTGTTCATCGTGCTGAGGATGTACTCAATATCCTGCTTAAAATCGTCGTGCTCTCCCGACTCTAAACACTGATGGGCTTCTTTAACACGATGAACTCTCGCTGTTTCACTACCTCGACCATCGACAGGAAGACGCTAAAGGAGAAAATCAGTTCAAAAAACCGACTAATAATAATAACAATCATAATGATGCTCAGGTATTTGCAAAACTCCGCACCGCACATGTCTGCGGTGGGGAAAGAACGCGTTATTATCCTATCCGCGGTCTAACGCGTTCACCACCACACGACGTGGGTCCGTCGCTTCGTCTTTCTCTCAGTAATGATAATAATGATAGCACTCTATCCCATATTTACTACCTACTCTTTTTCCACAGCAGGGCATTTATTATGTGAAAAACAACTACAAGGATGAAAAGGCATGAGCAGAACTAGGAACCTCAGGTGGCCTAGAACCCTCGATTACCCTTTCCGAGGACTCATGTGTTATCCACTGTACCAACCGAAACCTTTTCTCTGCTTTTTTCTCAGGCAACTTTTCAATCCAGTTCATTGCTGACAGTACCGCTATGGTAAAAAAAAAACTGGCTGAGAATAATGCTAATAATAATAATTCCAATTGACTAGCCAACAAATTAACGAAGGGACTCACTTCATAACAAACTTAAACAGAAGGCAACTTTTCTTAACGATAAAGCACACCTGTGAACAAGAAGTATGGACTGAACTGCTTGACACTGCTCTAACTTCGTTCGAGGCACCACTACCACCTTCACTTTCCTCATCATCATTAGCAGTCCATTTATGTTGGTAGATTGGACGGCGTTCTTTCGGATCCACAAATTTTGTTCCCAATGAAACTGAGTAGGAAACTATAAGATACTACGAAACAATAGAAAGTTACCAATCGTAGCCAGGCTCTGCTTACTAACACGAAGAATGCGGTGAAATCTTAGTTCTCTTCACCGAAGGAGGAGGTGAGTCATCTTTATCGTCGAAATCGAATTCGGAAGTGCGACCTGGACCTACTTGGGGCGAATGTGACGACTGTACTTCAGTAGTAATGCATGCACTAAAACAAAGATAACTTCTAAGTCTCTTCATATTCCTCGAAGATCAATGTTCTCTTCTACTTTTCTTTTATTTTATATGACCCATTTTCAAGTCTACAGTGCGGATCCCAGCAGTTCTCACATTCGATTCGTTTCCTCACATCAATCGTCCACGAAGATCTTCCAACTTTACGTGTGGCTTCGGTTGCTACTTGAGGATTTTCATTTCATCTTGAATGCCGCAGAATGCTGGTCGACGAATTCTCTCTGGAGTCCTGAGAGAGCCGAGCTGGAGCGTCTCCAATTGGATTGCATAGGGTGATTCCTCTTCCCCAGACAAGTCCGGTACCAATTTCCCGACCATAGAGGGATGAGAGGCATGGCTGGCCCGGAGCGGAATCGAAATAGCACCATGTTCGTGATGACAGACATCACTACCACTGTGCTATCCGCCCCTGATAAACGCCTTAATTTTCGAAATGTACAGTTTGCATAATGGTGCAGAGATATTTTCAAAACTCCGCACCGCTGGTGTCTGCATTGGCGACCGAACCTGCTATTACCCTTTCCGGGGGCTAACGCGTCCACCACCACGCCATGCGAGTCTACATTTCGGCTTTCTCTCAGTTGTATTATATAAAGCTTGCATAGGAAAAAGTAGACGCTCTCATAACGTATCTCTACTTAAAAAGTGATAAAACCGTAAAACCTATGACGACGAGATACCTCGGTGATCGAGCAGTGCTCGGAACAGGTTGGCTATCCTCGTCACTGCTGCTAGACAAAACCTGAAATGTTAACCGCATTGAAATAACAATTGAATGTGAAAACGCTTACATGGTCATTCTCCATGGTCCCATCCGTCGACGTACTCTCTGGTAGGCTTATTGGTGGAGAAAATACCTGCTTAGGAGAATCATGCGTTGGAACGGTATCGAACACTAAACTGTCTTCATCTTACGAAAAAGGGTTACGAAGAAGAAAACAGAAACTCAAAAGGAACAGATATAAACCTGATGGGAGGGAATCGACAGTAGCAGGATCACAACAAACTGAGGCTGTTGGCTTTTGTGTTTGACTACGCTTCTTTGGAAGGCTGAACACAGGAGATAACTGACAAGAACGGGAAGCCGGAATCTAATTGAAAGGATATGCATATATACACATACACACACACACGTAATACACAGTATCCATAGGTGTATACATTTGTGCATACGCATGTACATGTACACACATACACATGCACATTCACGTAAACACATGCATATATCTTTTCATTTTTATTTTATACGAGCCGTCTTCACACCTACTTGGCGGATCCTAGCACGTCTGATATTCGATTCGTGCCCTCGCATCCATCATCCATGATGGTCTTCCTACTTTTACGTGTGGTTTAGGCCGCTGCTTGAGGATTTTCACTTCATCTTGAATGTCGCAGAACGTTGGTTGGGTCGATACTTCCTGGAGTCTTGAGATAACCGGGCTGGAGTGTCCCCAATTGGATTGCAGAGAGTAATTTTTTCCCAAGTCCAGTACTAATTTTCCGACTCTGGATGGGAGGCTTCGTGGGCCTGAGGCCGGATCTAACCAGCCCAGTCCTCGTGATGATCAGCACCAATACCACTGTGCTATGCGCCCCATATATGTATATGTGGATACACGTATATATGCATATATATATGTTTATGCATGTACATATACATGTATATACACATATCTATATACAGTCTAGTTAGAACACAAAAATAACTTACGGTTTAGAAAAAGCTGCGTCGAAAAGAGCTGATGCCTTAGAATTAGGTCCGAAGCTACCATAAGCCCTGTGTTCACGGTTTATACTTTTGGAATACGACATTAAGGATCTGTCAAATTCTCCTAAAAACTTGTATTCTTTAAATGTTTCATATCAATCGACACTTTTCTACATGGTTATGCTGCCAGACGATTTGTATACCCAAGAAAATAAAACATGTTCCATACTAGTTTATAAAGTAGGAACTGATTTGTAAGAGCGAAGACGTGAAATGAATAAATGTGCAAAAGACACAAAAATTCCTAAACAAACTCCAAATGGAAGGAAAATATCGAGACGGTCGCTGCCAGAGACGGTTAGCTAGTAAGCCAAGTTGCTACTTTCCTTCAATAAGCCATCACGAGGTTGGTATCATAGCATTCATTAGTAAACAATAGCCGACATTTCGACGGCTTCGCCTTCATCAGAGCCTGGAAGGGTCAAATTGACTTGCAACCTCCTCAGTCATAATCTTAGCAAACAAGACTTTCACACACTTTCTCATCGGCTGAGGTTACGAAAGTGTTGGGATGAGTAAACTGCATGTCAGTTTGACCCTTCCAGGCTCTAAAGGCGAAGCCGCCGATACATCTGCTCTTGTATGCTAATAAATTCTATAGCATCAGCGTGGTGTTTGTTCACTGAAGAAAAACTATCGACCAATGTACATGTTACGAGAAAGTTGGTCTTGGGAATAAGCCGAGCCAATAGTTGAAGTTTGCAAAAAAGAAAAAAAAAGAGGAAGAAAGTGGTGGCACGTGTGGAATGAAATGGGAGAAGCAATGTTTCCAAATTAAAATTAATTGCCAGAACTACTAAACAACCACAATTCGTAACCGATATGGAAAACAAAGTGTGACCAACATACTGCTCTATTTACGATTCTGTTTACCACTTTTACAAGGACAATAGCAAAAATTTCGAAACAGCTCCCACGGAACTCAGCTCGGGATGTATTTCGAAAAGGAGCGACTTGAAAATTAAAGCAGAGAAAAATATAGTAAAGTAAATAAAACAAAGGTAAGTGAAAAAGCAAAGCCGCCTTAATGATTCCTTACTCAACTCTCCTAGTTGGGAAGCAAACGAATAGATTCTATTGCTGGGAGAAGCTGTAACTAGAACAAATCGTCCATCATTTCCTCGTTTTACAAGAGAAGCCATGCAAACCCTATAGCCCCATTGCAAGATGAACTTACCGTGCACGTTTATAAATTTTATACTGCAATATCAAATTACTTTACTACTAACCCTACTGAAAATAACTGCAAGGTATCAAGTAGTGATCATATAAGTGACTATACAGCTCTTCTCGGATAAATAACTTTACTCGGCAAGTGGAGGATAAATACACGATGGCTCAGACAAGAGCATTCGCTTTGAGAGGAAGGCTCAGGCTTCCGTCCATTCGCTTGTCCTTCCAACCTAAAGTCCTGGAAGAACATCTGCTCACGAATGAAAGCAGGTTCACTCTGACCTGACGAGCAGAACTCAAAACAATATGAAGGACATTACTCTAGCCAACTAGTCGTCTCGGTGAGCCCTCCTCCTAAACCTCCTCTAAGGAGCCCTCTAAGAATGGCAGTACACTAACCACACATCACAGACTACTGACGACAGACCGCAGCACCAAGCCGAGCACTGCGCTCCTTCGGCTCCTGAGACCGTGCTTTCGTGTCGGGACCACCACGCCCAAATTCGAATGCGCTTGGCCGCCCGCCAACGGGCGTCCGGGCGTCATTGATTCCCGCGCGTCGACAGCTTGCGGCGTGTCCTTGCGGCCGTCTCCGCCCTGTGTTCGCGTGGTGTTCTGCGTTCTGTGGTTTGTTCGAAGCTTCATCTTTTCTAGAAATGCTTGAAAATCTTTCCGAATTGGTCTCAATGCATTTTTCATATACTTGGGCATCGCCGTCCCTGTATATCCTACATTTTGTTCTGATGTTATCTATTGGCTACGTATGTTGTTGTGTTGCTTGTAGTGTTATTTCCATTCGTTTACAGCTTTTGCTTTAGGTTTATGGCAGGCGGCAAGGGCAAGGCCGGCAAGGATTCCGGAAAGTCGAAGTCGAAAGTGATTTCGCGGAGCGCTCGTGCAGGATTGCAGTTTCCCGTTGGACGGATCCATCGCTTCCTGAAGCAAAGGACCACATCCACAGGTCGTGTAGGAGCTACGGCTGCTGTTTATAGGTGGGATCTAGTTTCAATGTCCCAGTCCGTTTTGTCGGTCGAGCATAGACGAAGTCATTTAAAGTGCCGCCATTCTCGAGTATCTTACCGCTGAGGTTTTGGAGTTAGCTGGTAATGCTTCTAAGGATCTCAAAGTGAAAAGGATCACTCCTCGGCATCTCCACCTTGCTATCAGAGGTGACGAAGAACTCGATACGCTTATCAAGGCAACTATTGCTGGAGGAGGTTAGATTCTGAGAGTTTCTTAGAATTAGACTGCTACAAATCCCTTAAATAATAAATGAGATTGTTACAGGAGTTATTCCACATATCCATCGTTACCTAATGAACAAGAAGGGCCAGCCGCAACCAGGACAAAAAGTCGCTCCACCGCCGTGATCGACATGGCTCCATGATAGCTGTAATGTGTAACTACAGAACTTTTTACTCTACGTTTGATGCCTTCGTCGTTTTTATGATGACAATACGTTTTTGTTTGTCGAAGTCACGTATCGTTTGGGAATAAAGGTAATTCGTACTAATTTGATGCTACTCATGCCTGCCCAACATTCACGATTATTGTACATTTTGAACATTTTGAATCTATGATGTTGTATTTTATCATGTTCATCCGATGGAAGTAAAGATCTCTTGTACTGATTGTCGTGGTTGGGAGAGGATTTCATCCATATTGTACAATTCCATAGGAATCCTAGGAAGTTTGAGATCTGATTGCTTTGACGGAGGTGGAGATTACGCAGTATCGTTGTTATTACTGTAACTGGAAAGCAGTCAGAGTTAGAATAAAGCCGGGATAAGTTGTGGACGTGATTGTCCACCTAGCCATTGACCAGTGTTTGGAAGTGGCAGGTGTCCAATGACGAAGGGTGGGGCGTATCGATCTCCGCTTTCCAGCACTCAACAGATGATTCAGTTCCGCAGCTTTTTCTAGTAGGTGCCTCTCATTTTAAACATATGAGATTGGGTTTTTTAGTTTTCTGTAGAGTTGTAGTCGCTCAAAGAGAAGTATAGTGTTATTGTATCTGGTGTTTTAAACATTTCATCATGTCAGTCCAACAGGCGGAGGGTGGTAGACCAGATGGCATTGAAACTGTGCCAGCATGTAGTTTTTTTTTTGATTGGTTTAGTTATTGTCTTGTTATAGAGTTAGGATGTACGAAGGCACACAAATCGCTAAGTCAAGGTTTTCGAGGTATGGGTAGGGTAGTAAGTGAGCAGGGTTTCTTGTGCGAGCAAAGGAGTTTTGTTGGTTTCTTGAAAGAAAATGTCGATGATCTCAGTGATTTCTGTATAGTTCTGGTATTGGGTGAATGCATACTGGTCACAATTACTGTTTCTACTTTACATCATATTTCTTAATTTACCGAATTCTGTCATACCAGTTCTGAACAGTTCTTTACGGTTATTTTCTGCAACTGCGGACACCAGAAATCTGTTCCGCAGCGCGTCTGTAGATCTCAGTAGAAGTGGATGAAGTAGGTGACTGTGGATTTGACGCTGGATCATGTTTCCTACAGTTGTGATGTTCTTCTTCTGTTCTGGTACAGTTCAGTTAAGGCGAATGTCTCAGCCGATCGTGGGTGGCCAAACCAGAGAAGCGATAGACCTGTCTAATGAGAAAATTCTCAAGAATAAACCGAAAGGTGCGTTTGTTGTTTATCGTTGTTTTTTCTTCAGTATCTGTCCGTTTTCTTTGCTCGGTGCTCCACATTTTACTACTTGACCCTATGGATTTAGGTTGGTCGGTTTCATTTTCCTAGCCATTGTTTTTTCACTTAATTGATGTGATATCATGCTCGTATTCGCACCAAACCAATCGAGTGCCTTGTATTCTGGTGTTCTACGTAGGGAATCCATAGGGTGGGTGTAGCGCAGCGGTCAGAGGCGCTCTGCAATTCACATAGGATCGATCCCTGCTCCCCGGTCTCACCAAACTTTCTATCCATCCGGTGTAGAGAAATTGGTACCAGACTTGTTTGGCAGGATATCAGCACTGACTCAGTACATTGGCAGGGCATCACGAGTCATTGTAAAGCCCAGATATACTTTCAATCTTCTTTAACGGTGTGCTTGGCGTGGAGTCGAATACGTGGTGCATCCCTCAGGGATTGATCAACGCCAGGAGCTTTTTTCTTTATCCTTTATCCTTTTTTTATTCAGAATATAAACCTACTGAAACGTGGCGTTTTCAGCTAGTAAGCTGCGACAGCAGCAATTGCCAGCATGGCAGCCGATCCTCACAGCTTCCACTGTTATTCCTACAGTCATAGGAGTTGGTATCGTCTTCATCCCCATTGGTGTGGCACTGTTTCTCGCATCGGAAGGAGGCACAGTTTCCTTTTTTTATTTTTCTTCCTCATCCTTTTCGTTTCCTTAAGACGCTTAGAGTTTCAAACCGTATTCACTTGCCATAACTTATCACTTATTGTTAACCTATCGATAACCATATCAGCCATGGCAGTCGGTAGCATCTAACCAAAAACATTATTGTTCTGGCTTTAGAAAGCGTTGGTAATTGAGATAAGAATCACAGTAATCTACGCATCTTTGCCAAAAGCAGTTTAACTTCTTCTGTCATAACGAAATTTTAGTTTTCTGGGGACTATGAAGCTGCTTTTTTTGGTTTAAGTAGAAATAGCGTTTAAAATTTCGAAATATGTTCCTATATAATCTTTAGAGTCATAGGACAAAATGCTTCTGTTAAATTTGTCAACTAATTAAATTACCTAACAGTTGTCGGCAGTTATCAAAAAGCTCTCAAAGTCATCAGTGGATCAATAGAATAGGTTGCGGTACTGAAGCTTTCATTCCGCTCTATGCAATGTTTTTTTGGCTTTCTTATTAGTTTAAGAAAACTGCCTCCCAAAAGTTTACTGTCTCATCGTGGTACCGCCTCATCGTGGCTGAGTATCGGGTTCCTGGGTATCGGGCTCCGATGTACAGCAAGGGCATTCATCACCCCAGTAGGGTCTTCTTAGCTGAGAAGGACTTGGGCGTTTCTGTCAAAGAGTCCCGCTAAGAGTAAACTAATACCAGGATTCACCACCGTCCTGGTATGACTAGTCGCATGTTCGCAAATCTCCCTCTATTCTACAAAGGATGCGACTGCTTGTGGTGGTGAAGACCTGGGGCAGACTGACTAGGCTGACCTCGGGTATCCATGGAAACATAATAGCTAAGCCAGCAATAGACCAAAAATGGGGACTATGCTGGGGCCCACACAAGTGGTGAGGACGGGCCATCCAAGTATCCAAGTAAGTTAGGAAAACTCAGACGTAACTGTGGATGGGAATCTCCGTGAAGCTTGTGATATTCACCACTACTTGTGAGAATGTCATTTAGCAGTGGTCTGTCGTCATCATTTATCTTCTTTTTGAAAGCTACTGAATTATCCATTATTTGGGGAAGAACTTCCTGCAGAAGTCACGGATTTTTTGTGGCATATTTCTACTAGGGAAAGGTTGTTTGTGTAACTCGGAGGAGTGCTAGTGTTCGTTTGTTTCAGTGAAGGAGTACACGATTGATTATACAAAGTGTGAGATAGGCGCTCCATGCATACTGATGATCAACATCACTGAGGATATGCAGGTAGCTTAATGTTAGTTTTAGAGAAGCTATGATTCCTACATTAAAGAGCTATAAGTTGGTTTTAGGGTGATGTTTATATTTACTATTACTTGGAAAATTACTTTCAAAATCATCGGCGTTATGTGAAGAGTAGAAACGACAAGCAGTATCTCGGAAATCTTATGGTAAGCTTCTGGCATTTTGGAGATGTCAAGATGACAGAGTTGGTTGATGGAGTTCTCATGTTGATGCTTTTTTTAGGAAGTTTCCGACTGTGAGCCCTATGCTTACAACGAGAACAACGTTCCAATTGCTCCTTGTGGTGCCATTGCTAACTCCATGTTTAACGGTACTTCCAAGTTTTGGTCTTCTGGCCTCCCGTTTTTGGAAAGATTCATAAGCAAAACGTTTGATGAAATTTGGAGTGAATGAGAGTAAATTCAGTAGTCGACATTATTAGTTTGGGGATATTAAATTTTGGCACATTTTCCGAAAAAGAAAAAATTGTTTGTAACCTATTTGTCTTTTTTCGCCCACTGTTTTTCCATAGTTGATTTTCGCATTTTTCAAAGTTTTTACAATGCTCCTCTGCCGTGGATCGTTGCAAATTTCTAGTAGATCTTTTTTGTATGGGTGGAAGAATAAAGCAAGAGCACCAGCTGTTACTTTGAACGCCCATATGAGCCAAACACATTTAGTACAATAATACCATGCGGATTGACTCCAATCCAGTGAGTACATGGTGGCTGGGAGTTCTGGATGATGTGTACTTTTTTTTCCAACGCATTTTATTTAGAGTTGTTTGTTTTTCAATTCATTCCTTTCTACAACATCTTCTTTACTGTTCCAATATTTTTCTTGCTGCATTTGTATCCGTGTGGCTCGAGATGAGCTATTTCGCTCACGTTACAATTTGCAAAAGACCGTTCGTGAGCAACATTGTTTCCCAAAGTTCCGCGAACAACCAACCCTTTGTTTTTGTACAGTTAGAGCATGTCAGACTACTGGGATTTTGGGTAACGTATTCTTTATTTTAGATACATATGAGCTTTACTACATCAAAAATTCTGCGAGAATACGTGTTCCTGTTACGACAGATGGGGTAAGTGAGTAGAGGTGATTATTGATTTTGTGTCTTCTAACGTATTTACTTTAGGTGTTGTGGGACGTGGATAAAGAGAGAAAATTCAAAAATCCTCCGGTTCCAGATGGCGGGAACCTTTGTGATGCGTTTAAGGTAGTAAATTAAATTTCCAAGATATACGATTAGAGGTAAAGATTAGAATGGTGCCGATAACAAATCTCGTAGAGCAAGGCATCATTTTTATGTTTTATAATTTTCAGTACTGTTTCATGTTCCATTCTTTCTGAATTAGTTTACGACGACATTCCATACATAGACAAGTAAATACTTCTTTCCCACCAATGAACCAGCTATCACTTGTTCATCTTGAGATTACTGACCTGAAGCTGGGCTGTTGCATTGCTCTGCACTCCAGAACATACGTAGTTCGGTTGCGTAGAGTTAAATTCCGAGCACTGGTGTTGAGTATTGTAAGTACTTCAGTTTCCTTTTATTTTACATTGTCTATCTTCAAATCTACTGTGCGGTTTCCAACACTTCTTGCATTCGATTCGTTTTGTCGCATTCATCGTCTAAGAAAGAGTCTGAACATGTCGCATGTTGTTTCGGTTGCTGCTCGAGGACTTCGTCTTCTTCATGAATATCGTGAGATTTTGTTCTAATAAATTGTTGCAATCGTGAAGGTAGACAGGCTAAGGCGTTCCCACATGTATTGCAAGAGAGCGTTGAGGCAGGAGTCGAACCAGCTCCTTTCTGCTCGATGGCATAGCTAACCAGCTATCCAGGCCTAACTTCTTCGTTATACATGTACGTATAAACGTGTATATGTATATATGCGTTTGTGTATACATGGATACTTGAATAGCCCGTCTTCACTGGTTGTGAGGGTCCTAGCACAGTTTCCATTTTTTTTTGAATTTGCTAGTTTAACTATTGTGGTTCCCTGGAGTCCCGAGGTCAACTTAGCCAAAGTTTCACCCAAGTCGTCACCTCCACAGGCAGTCGCCCTCTTTGTGCATCAGAGGAGATTTCCCAGCACGCGACTTGTTTGACACTATGGTGGTTCTGGATGCTGGTGTTGGTTTACTCTTGGCTGGGCCTGGGCTTCCTGGTGGAAGCGTCGGACTCCTTTCCGGCTTGGGAGGTCTTGCTAGGGACAAATTTCCCCTACCGTACTTCGCTGCCCGACGCCCAGGAACACCTATTCACGATGAGTCGGTAAACCGTTGAGAGATACATATACGTACATATGCATATATACGTATACATATGTATGCACATGTATATGTTTATACATGCATACATGTATATGTATATATATCTATTATATATAACTATCTATGCAGTTTTGTTTTGCGTATTTTCAAGTTGAACCGGGAAATCCTGGTGAAATGATGGTATAAATCTTGTTTTGCTTCCATATATTCAGTTAAGAAGAGACGTTTAAACAAATATCGCTTCAAAATTTGGAAATTTATGTTTTGCATGTTAAATAAATGGTCTGCATCATTTTAGTAAATTTGGATAATGCGTTCTTGTTATTCGTATTTTATTTTTTAATGCTTTTATGACTATGATTCTTAGGGAGTTTGCAAATTATTTACTTCAATGTTCACTCTAAAGGGAACTGTGAAGCCACCGAACTGGGCTGTTCAACCGTGTATGAATGGTGGATTCGAGAACGTGGATTTGATCGTATGGATGCGAACTGCTGCTCTTCCAAATTTCCGCAAGTTGTGGAGACTTGTAAATCGCAATGCTAATGATGTCCAGAGTGATAGCTTGTTTCGTAATGGTTTACCAAGTGGAGTTTACGAAGTTCGAATCAATTCCAGTAAGTTATTAGTTAATCGATTAGGTTCATCTTTTTTCTTAAGATTCAGTCCCACATTTAATGTGTCCACTTCTGTCATCCCTGGGTAAGGTTGGGTAATCCCAGTCCTTTGTCGTGAATTTCAGCATCCTTTCGTTTTTGAGATAATAACCCTTCTCAACAAAACAAGAAGTAAACTTTTAATGGTTCTTTCGCTACACTCTTTCTCTTGTATTTTAGTATTTCTAGTACACTACTGGATTTTCTTGGGATCAATTTACCTCGTACCACACAATATGTGAATCTTATTTGCTTCATAACTTATCTAGCATCTTCATTATGCTTTTGCTGCTTGTTTCTAAAGATTCCACACCTAATCTCCCTCGTTTTTGAGGATTTTTAAGTTTGTGGTAGAGTTTGATTCAGGTTTTTTTTCCAGGTTATCCTGTGACAGCGTTTGGTGGTCGGAAATCTTTTGTAGTGAGTACAGCAAGCTGGGTTGGTGGAAAGAACTCTTTCCTAGGTGATGTTTCTTTGCGTTTATCCGATTGGGAATCTTTAGTGGTATGTACATGTACATATAATTTTAGGCATTGCTTACTTAGTCGTTGGATCACTTTCTGTCGTGCTGGGCATTGTATTTATAGCAATTCATATAAAATTTGGACATTCGTAAGTTCATCCTTTAGCCACTTAGTTTTTTCTTTTTTCTTCGTAAATTTGGCCTTGATTATGCAATATTTCATTTTCGTACAACATTTCCTTCAGAGTAAACGAACTTAGCAATGTCGGACCTTCGCATTAAGTGTTATTACGAAGTAATTTATCTGAAGGTTTCATCCTTGAGAGGAATTTTTGTCCATAGATGTAATACCTGTCAAGTGTTCTTAAATTCTTTAAAGCTTCGATTTGTATAATAGTATATTTGCTGTATCATAATTTTCTAACCAAATCTTTTCTTTGGTCTTGCAAACAAGCTATGGGTGTGTGTCAGTACCATACGTACTGTAACTGTTCAATTCCAAACTGTTTTCGTAATCTTTCTGGCCAGTCGTCGTAGTGAACTTAAGTTTGTCAGTTTGACATACTGCGTTATACGAATTAAATAACATACTTTAATTCCTCTTCTGTGATACTCTTTTTTCATATCGTTTAGTATTTATGAATGCCTTACAAGTTGTGATATCGCATCTTCTGCTACATGGCGGTTTCTGTTTTTTAATGGGCTCTTTACAAATGAAATCTTATGGCAAGATTGTATTCTGTGGAAAACGGAGAAATAGGACAAACGGCATGTATGTGACAAACGACGATGAAGGTTGAACTAAGTCACTATTGTGATTGTTGTGTCGGCTACGAAGATACACAGATTTCCCGCTGGGCAGTAACACTGTTTTTGGGCAGAACGGATTTGGGAAAGTTTGCTAACTTTGACTAACCAAGTTCGACGCATGGTGGTCGACGTGCATCGTATACTATGCATATGTGGGAGGTATGGGAGTGCACTACCTCGTATGCATTTTCTTTTAAGTGGTTCGTTTTGCTACAAATGGCTCTTCTAGTGCATATTTTTTACTTTTATTTATTTTTATTTGGAAATGAAACGATGACTTGTTCAACGTAGATGTTATGACGAACCTGGTTCATAGAAACGTGTTCTGTGCATATATAAGCTACGAAGAGCCTATTTCAGAGGAGTCGATTTTGCGAAAAGACTTATTGTTGGAAAAAATATATACACCACAAAGATCAATGTAGGTAAAAAGGGGGTTCGACTTGAGAACTGGGAAATTTGATTCACAGGAATGTCTATTCGCTGTCATAAGTTGACAACTCGTCCAGCAGACTTCGTCTCGGCAGTTCGGTTGTTCACAGAGCTGCGTTCATCAATGGGCTTCCAAACAGTTTGTATTTATAAACAGTCATCAAGTCTTATAAACCGACTTTCATTAAACTGGTAAAAATAACCAATACTTTATTGTATTCATGAGTTTGCACGAGATTAATACCAGATCTTTGCTGTGGCTAACGTTTCGGTGCTTCCAGCATCCTGAATGAATCAAATAAATTGCCCACGGCCATTCATTCTTCTGATTTGGATCTTCGTTGTCGCATTGACTCGAATCTAGTGAAATGAACCACCTCTTGATGCCTCTCGAAGCCTTCAGAGCCGCAATGATTCTATTTCAATCATTGCGACGCTTAAGAAACGAAGGCGCCGAAACGGTAGTAGCAATAAATATTTGGTAACAACCTCTTGTAAGCTCATGAACACAATGAAGTTTTAGCAAGTCGCCAAGTTTTGTTAGTCTATCCTTTTAGCAATGCGTTATGCTCAACAATATTTATTTTGCAATCTACAACCTACAATTTGTACATACATAAAGGATAAAGGATGAAGCTCTCGTCGTTGACCTATCCCTGAGGAATGTGTCGTATATTCAACTGCATCATTGGTGGTGATCGAATACATATATGGGTTTTACAATGATTCGCGGTGGCCCACCGATGTTGCTGACCCCGGAGGGATGGGGGGCTTGGTGGGCCTGGGGCGAGGAGATGGATTTCGTTCGTATTGCACGTCGCCTTCGACCACTGCGCTATACGCGCCCTTTACATAAATATAATTCAAATTGGCAACATGGTATTAACAAACTTCAAGTAGAACTTCGTAGCAAAAATGTACACTTCGTTTGATGCTCATTAGAACATTTCAAATAGTAACGTTCCACACTTCGATTCCATGTTCTTGTCCCAGTGCGCTACCACTCGCTTCAAGGATGTGAGAAGTTAACGGCGTAAAAGCAATCGCCCATCCAGCCTAACGCATCCTTGTCTACCTAAAGCCTCTTCAGTGAGATTTTCCACACGTATAGGTCTTTCACACAGTCATCAGTAACATCTGAGTGTGAAAGCAGAATCGTACGTATCTAATCGGTAGGGACAAAGATGTGTCTAAACCAAGAAGTGGAAATGTACACACTACTTGATTGTCCTCCTAACAATATGAACAATAGACTACCATTGCTTGTGTCGAAAGGCGAATAGCTTCTCCTGGTTGTAACACTCAATCACCTGAGGTTTCGATAACCTGCGGCAAATAGTCGGGTTATCCAATGTGGTCGCTACAATGATGTCCTTATTTTTACATATACTACCTCTGCTCTGCACTGTTATTCCCTGTACCTGCCTTCAGCTTTCTGTTGGATAACCTAGTTGGAAAGTGCCTTCCTGTTTTCCCCACAACTGAAACTATAATGGAACTTGGGACTTTTTTAAATAGGTTTAATAGGTAACCAGAGAACAGGCGTTGTATTCCATCTGTGGGCACAGAGGTCGCTTCCTTCATCCAGAATGTCGTATATAAGCCTCATCACTACAACCTGGTCAGATCTCCAGTTATGGGAGCGTAGCTACCAGCATAAACTAGAATTCTGCTGGTGTAGTTGTCTATCGAGTACAATTTAAATCGCTTAAGTCCCTACTTGTGTCTTTCATGTGAAATATACTGATGGAAAGAAGTCATATCTTTAAGCATTACATGACATTGTTCTACAGAAATTATGCTTCTGCATTTGCTAAGTTCGATTAGTAGTCTAATCTCGGTTAACTTACTTCATCGATTTATATTGCGTCTTCGGTAAAGTGGAGGTTGGTCAGCAGCAATAATTCCTCGACTCCGAAAGTCTGATAATTCCTATCTTTAAGCACAGATTGATCAATCTTGTCATCTCGCCAACATTACCACAACGATGCTGAGATATAAGAAAAACTCGAAACCCTACGTGAGTTTCGAACTCACGATTACCCTTTCCCCGGGCTCACATGTTATCCAATGCAACAACCAAGGTCCTTTCTTTGCCTTTACCTCAGCCAATTTTTTACCCTAACGGCGCTATCAGTGTCAGCATATGTGGGTTCCACAACGTATCCTTCTTCACAACATATTTGTTGTTCTCGTTCACAATAAGCTCCCAAGCATCAGTAATAAATTATTCATAGAAATCTTTTGACACCGTTGAAGAAACAGTTTATAGCAATTGTCATCGAAAATCCATTGATTGCGAGGCATTCCATTGCTAAACCACTCGGTGCTGGCTTCACAATGGTCATCACCAACATAGCCGTACTCATCTCCAATTCCTTTCCTTCGGATTCTTCGAATGAAAAGTAAAACAGATTTTTTATTACCCTGTTCATCCTCAGCTTTTTTATCGTCATTTTTGATGAAGTCAGCCGATGTTCAATTCATCTAGTGATATGATTCAAAGCTCCATCCACTATATGAGGCGCACAGATATGAAGTTCAGGTAAATGATAGTTGGCGCCTGTGTAGCGCTGTGGTTAAGGGCGCCCTGTAGTGCATATGGGATTGATCCTGCGACCCAAGATCACCAAGCCCTCCATCCCTCCACTAACTCGATACATCGGTAGGCCACCGTGAGTCACTGTATAAGCGATCAACGCCTACAGCTTTGTTCTTTTTTTAACAGACAGTTGCTTTACTTGCAATTGTTAAGGTGAATCACAGTCATCGTGTGGAATACACAGATATGAAGAATACCGTAATGAACCTGTCATAAGTACAAAATATTTCAGTATTCTGTCGGCAATGTTGTTGGACGGTATACCACGGCAATGTATACTGCTAGTAATTGCTAGTAATATATCTACCTCAAGATAGATAAACCAAAGCGTTTTCAATAACGCTGGGGTGTTCTCAGTTCCTCATGTCCTCTACATATCGAAAATGTGCATTGTCGGAAAACTAGAACAGCTCGTTCTTTGAAGTATTTTAATCCAGCCGAGCTATCCTATTTATTCAGCCGCAATGAAATTAAGCGTGGTTCCACGTGGGAGCCATGATAAATTGAGCGTTGAGCGTTCTGTTAAATGAAGACGCTAGATTTGTGGTTTTATTAGTGAAGGGAGATAATACACGTAGTGGGCCTCACCACGAAATCAATTTCTTAGTGCAAATACAAAGTCGTGAGACCATATGCCGTTTATAATGAAGGTATAGAAATCCCCACGACTGACTTTCTATTAACCTCGGCACTGATCAAATAACTCTCTATATTCTTGTCGAGAAAACGCAAGGTGTTATTTTATTTTTTATTTACAAATAAGGAGACGTTTCGTCGGATTTTCCCTTCCTTAGATCCTGGAAAGGTCAAGTTGACTGCAGTCTATCCAGCCAAACACCTCTATAACCAAACAGAGAAAGTGCTAAACTATGATTTCAATCCGATTGAAGACAAAGTAGTTTCTTCACAGACTTACCGCTTCCTATGAGTCTTCCACTGAGTATGTCACGTGGAGACCAACCGCACAGAGTTCACATGGAAGCGTAATGTACCCGTCACATTAAAATATCAATCCTAAATACTCTCCAATATCACGCGTTATTATGAAGGACTCCTCCTTGCGGTTCGTTTTCGTCTTCTCGGAGTTTTTCCCGAATGCTTCCAGATTCGCGCACTGGTGTCTTCTCTTCGTATGGGAGAATGGTAACTTCCACTTTCAAATCTTCCCCGTTATTTCTTTTTGTCCCATAGTTCTAGTGGAATATTTGGTTTAACTTTAAGTCTACTGAATAGATGTGCGTGTTCAAGGGACGCGGAGTGGCCTACCTTTTCGCCAATGTATTCGCCCCCGTACGCTTTACAAGGGATCACATAAACTGCACCCGACTTCATGCAATCATAGGCTCTGGAGTTAGCGCATATTAAGCAATTTCATATAGTGCACAGACGGTCATACAGGTGGTTGCGAACTAGTTGGCGGTTTTTGAGTGCCGATAGT